CTTTCCAGATATGACTTCACCATAAACTTAAAATCAACCCATAAAGAATTGCGGTGTATTTTTTACCTTTGAATGTACATTTCATATCATTTCGATACACTGTATACTGTGCCATGTTGCAAATAAGATTTAACATTTCGCAAGTTACACCGTCCACTGGATATCACTAAAAGTTCTTCACTACAGTATATACATATTTATCTTGAAAAGGTGATATGAAAGAAAGCCTTTGAAGGATTTTCCAAAATGTTCGTACGAGTTTACAGTGTACTAACAAAATAATGAAAAATTGTTTCAACCTCCTCACACTGTCTACATTAATTTGCTGTCATTAAGAACACACCATTTTAGCAATTTTTCTTGTAAAGGTAAAATTTTGTTCAGAAATTTTAAGATTAAATTGCTAATTCTGTCATAATTAACTGTACACATTTTGGACTTAAAAAGCATTTTCCAAATAAAAATGTCTTGTAATGACAAAACATTAGACCAAAATAATATACTAGTAGTTGACGGGTCTTGAGAAACCCATACACTCAATGTTTCTTTTTTTGTAGTTATAGAACCAAGAGTTATAATTATGATCTCCTGTTTTAAGTGTAATTAAATCATCTTCCTTTCCTTTGCAATCAATAGTATTTTTGTCTAAATCTCATCTTATTCAAAAAGTAAACAGAAAATCTTTTTTCTTCTTGAATTTTGTATATTTTACATAAAAATAATAATAACTGAGAGGGAAATATCGAGTTGTTTAGTATTTAAATGTAGGTCAGGATAAACAATAAATATGTTATGCTTTGTCCATCCTTTTTATAAAACGTATAAATCGTTATTTAAATGTCCTCACTGATTATTTTTAGACAAAAATTGAAATACAGTTGATATGAAATGTGATGTCACAGGCATATATCACTACTCTACATAACAAGACCAGAAAACTAAACAGTGTCTACAGATCGGGGCAAAGCCATACAGGTATCCATACATAATTCACATTACAATATCTTGTTCCAAATCAAACATAAAAGTGCTTTATCATAAGCTATCTCTATTTTTCGTTCACGCAGAAATCGCAAAAGAACATGCACTTGAGCCATTATTTCCACGACTAGATGTAAAGGTAATTAGAATGTGCACACTGTGAAAAGGTTGGGCAATATTCATTTTTCCAACACTTTGCCCAACGTTGTGTCAATAGTCAACCCAACCATCTATTGGACAATATTTTGCCCAGTGGTATTGGTCAACGCAAGAAGTCTTGGTCAACGCAAGGAGTTACGTACCCTGCTTCACACGTGCATAACTGTTTCGTATTTTGTCCAAAATGTGGGCAAAGATATGACCCTTCAGCTGCTCGACTACGGTAGCCCACTTGTTGGAAAAATCTTGACCAGCTGTTGTGCAAAATACGAAACAACTATGCACGTACTTACGTTTATCAATACCACTGGGCAAAACATTGCCCAATATGATGGTTGGGTTGACTAATGTATTGGCACAACGTTGGGCAAAGTGTTGGAAAATGTTGCCCAACCCTTTTCACAGTGCATCAATATCACACACATCAGTAAAATAATCAAATAACTGATGACAAGGCAAACAAGGGGAGCATGTACGGTAAATTCGGCAGGAATTCACATGGCGAAGATACCCAGCCTTCCTTCCATGTACCATGTCTTGTCAAACAGGCGAAGATGGTAAATTGGTAATGCTCCTTTTTTTTGGGGGGGGGGGCGGGGGGGGCGCAACTTGGCTACTTTGGAGTTATATCCATACAATTTTTACCAGCAAATAATGTTATTGAAGAAAATGCAATTTGACACCAAATTGCATCCCAATAAAATACTGGATTTAATGTATCATTTTGGGTTAAGACAGTTGGGAGATACAAATTAATGTATTCTTCTTTTTAATAAGGTGACATCCAAATTTTCAGAAGATTTGGTTATAGAGCACTTTGGTCTTTTTATCGGGGACTAATACCCATTTCTCTATGAAAAATGTTTTGTTAATATGTTTGTGATGTACATACTCCTTCCTTCATGCAAATTTGGTCCCGATAGTTGCCGTTAGTACTAAGTTCGACGACCGTTTGTCACTGAATAACTTTATAAAAGTGTCTAACATGTTGATGGTGTGACTATTCGGGACAGAAGCTTGGCCGGGGCGCTTGACATGACTGTGAGCACTTAAAAAAAAAGGGATTTTAAGTAACCTGAACCATGCTTTGCTTTTCTTCTTTTTTCTGAACGGGACGATCCAAGATTACGTTGTTATAATCTGTACAGTTGCATCTCGATTACCAACTGATTATTCCCTATAATAAAGCAAGCTCATCTTATACTCCAATTGCAGTTTTCACAACTCGAGATGAATGTTTGGTTGGAGAATAGGGATGCAATGATGTTTGTCAATATGAATATTTACATTGTTCTAAAGATAACTGCAACAGAACTATGTCATAAAAATGCAGGTGCCTGAGGGTCGTTTTTACATCCCCCCTGTTAATTATAAATTTAAAAAAATGAATGTGGCAGTTGGTGTTTATAATAACCGAAATGTTGCCAACACAACCCAATTGCCCAGAATAAGAGAAGAAAACTGCCTCCCCAACAGGAATCGAACCTCGTTTCCTTTCTCATGAGGACACCCACACAATTATTATGCTCGTAGTTAATGACATAATAATGGGCTAGTGAGTTTAACTGAAAGATCACGGCCCTGTTTCATAAAACTTGTTATCAGTATCAAGTTGCAAAAGCTGTTATAAGCTACTTAAATCATGGCATCTGATTGGCCGACAGCTATTATAATTTAGAATTTTAGCGTGTTTTTTTGTTGTTGAATATATTGATAACAATTTTTATGAAACAGAGCCCAGGAAAAAAACTTGTAGTATACATCCAGTGTTTTCATTATTTTGTAGGCCACTCGTCAACCCTATACCAGCATTTGACTTTAATGATAATTGTCGGATTGTTATTAAATTGTTCTCACCAGGGAGATGTATATAACTACTAATTTGCACGACAGCATGTCTGCCTGAATCGTCGATATGCCAATAAATAAATGAACACATTAGTGATATGACTGATGTACTTGATTTGAAGGGTGAAGTAAAAGATTAAAGATCCGTTGTCCCTGGCCAGGAGAATACGAGTGATTTGATCATTAGGAATTTGATCAATCACTATGTTCGGCAGCCAGAGAAGATAGAATATGACGGTGATAATGATGACTACCTGAGTGGTCTTATGGTCGGACTGCTGGTTCTGAGGCTTCTTTGATGGTGGTTTTGTCTTATTATTGGTTAGTAGTTGGTTGATCGCTTTTTTCGTTTTACCTGACTCAATGTCTGCCAAAGATTTGCAGGTTCCAACAGGTTCTGCTACAACTGAGATGGTAACCTCTGATGTTGATATGTCGGCACTTACTGAAGGGACAGACCCAGCTTTGGAATCCATTTTTACAGCTTGTGCTTGATTATGAAAGGCAGATCCGTTGGTCATTTTTTGACGAATGATCTGGTGAGCGCGAATAAACTTGTAAATACGAAGATATAAAGCTGTTATAATCAAGGCAGAAATGCAGAATATAATGGCTTGGAACTTGGCGTATACGTCACGTCCCCAAGAAACGTTACCATAGACATTGCAACCATACTGCCCTCGACGTTTCTGAGATTTTGTGATGAAAAAGAACGGGACATGGATACCGAAGGCGATGATGGCGCAACCAATGGAGACCAAGATGGCAGCTCGTCGTCCGATTCGTCTATCAAATGGCTTACACACCGCTTGGTAGCGATAAAACGCAATCCAGATCGTCAGAAACAGTCCAGCGTAGAGAGGTGACCTCGCTCCAATCACTTCAATATAACACGCCCAAGGATCCTCATCGTGAAAAAATGCAATAGGGATCTTCGTGCCGTTGATGATACAGGCAATGAGATCGACAACGGCAAGGGCGATGAAAGTGACGTCCGTAGCATTCTTAATACCTTGCCTTGTGAAGACGGCGATGATTGTTATGTTGCCAGGAATACCGACGGCAGCAGCTAAACACCCGACGATCAAACGGATTATAAACAAAGTAGTAAACATCGTGTGCTAATATTTTCACTTTCAAATAGAGCAAGAATCAAATAAAACCTTAATCAGTTCTTGAAATAACTTTTTAATCGCTTGTGCCTTTTTCTAAAAAGCGAAGTGCAAGGTAATGTCCCCTCGGCAAAGGCTCTGACAGAAGACGTTATCAAACGAATTATCAGCCAGATACTTCGTTACTAAAGTCACTTTGTTAAATAATATATATTCATGGGTAAGGTATATATATATATAGTTTTAAAAAAATGAATTTTATTAAATGAATGACTCCTTGAAGAACTTTCATAGATCTGACTGGATGCAAGATCAAATAGTGTCAATGGTCAATCGCGCAAATCCTGCCACTTATAGTAGCCAGGGTAGTGATTGTTTGGTTTCTGGTAATTAAAAAAAAAAAAATACTTGAGGGAAAAAAAACACACACGAGGCTCCTTCCGACTGACACTCTTTTATATTTATGACTTTCAAGCTTTCTTTTAAGCTAAAGAGAATTTGGCTCAATGCTCCAAGCATTTGAAAAATATTTTTCTCTAATATTTTTGAACAAATAATTCGCATTGCCTTGGAATTGATTTAGGTCTTTGATAAAAATTGATGCGTGTAATTACCAATTCGGATTGAAGATGCAAGCACAAATTCGTCCAAAAACATGTAATGTTTGCCATCGATTTGTATATTTTTGTAAAACCGCTATCTCCGTATTGTTGGAACTTTGGAGAATAATATCAAAGGATAATAATAAGAGGCCTGCGACCTACTTAGATTGGGTTTTTGTCATTCTGTATTCTGTCATTCAAGCCTTTATAGGAACGTTTTCATTCATTAATGCTAGCAAAGGGATAGAATGATGCATCATCGCTTTAAATCGATTTCATGGTCATCTTGGGTGCACAAAAGCGAGGGATATCAATACAAAATTCTATATATGACATAACGATCCCTTAACCATTTTGTTGTATACCATAGCCTATATCTTCATAGTTCATAAAAACCCTTCTGAAAATAAAATCAGCCCATGAACCTTTTATGGAGCATTCAATATTTCTCTCCATTGACATTTGTTAAGTATATTTTTAAAAGTCTTTTTTTCTTTCTTTTTTAAACATCACATTGACGAAAAACAGAACCTCGCTATACTACAACAGCTTTTCATCTGATGTACCATAACAATTCTTACAGTAACTTTTTTTATCCCATATATTTATATGTGAACTGGGAGACATATAACCAAAAGTTATGTTTATGCTAATCTTGTTAGCTATGCTTTATTTCTAAGTAAATCATATCATAATATCTTCTTCAAGTCTTCTCAGGTTTTTTTATCTAACAATTTAGCCTTTGAACAAATGTTTCGAAAAATCTTATGAACGATTAGACTGAAAAAAATCATTCAATATCATTCAAGTTCGTATACCATCGTTTATAATTTCTTTTGTGTGCTGTGTATTTTTTGTTTTTAATATTTTTCTATTTGTTTTGGATTTTGGGGATTTTACTAATAGGGCTTTCACTCGAAACCATCATACAAAATACATGACAAACTTCGTTGTTCTCGAGAAAATGTCCTTACTAGATAAAGATTTCAGAAAAATCATCATTAGGTACTATGTCCCATTTGCAGGCCAAAAAAATGAAAAGGTTAAATTCCACCGGCATTTGAAAGATAATACTAATTTAGAAACGAAAAGGCTTGAAAATGTCTTTTTGTGGGAAAATAACAACCGTTAGTTGCCGAATCGACTTTAGTGATTGCAACCCATTTAGAAAAAAGTCTATTTTTAGAACCCTCGCAGAGATTAAAAAAGTTTAATTTTGGCCATTACAAGAAGTGGGTTATTGATGTAGACACATGCTCATGTACCCTTTACAGCTCATTTTATGTATGCTATTACCAAAGAAGAAAAAAGTCAGTCAGTCACTCAATAGTGTCTGACAGTAAAGTCTAGAAAGTAAACGGGTTTCCTTGCATAATTTGAATACTAGGAGACTACTAACGTTTAAATTTCACAGATAGGAATTCCTGCAAAGTTTTGCAGAACTTGATGTTGGCTGCAAATGGGACACATTACCTTTAAAGTGAACTGGTAACATTGTTGAAAGATGATGAAAAAACTGCGTAATTTTTGAATGAAATGTTTCTTATTATATTCCTTTTACTGTACTAACCCTCTAACATGCAAACAGATCTCAAACCACAAAGATATGTATGGTTTTCTTTGAAGGCGTCACTGTGCGACACCCTCTAATAGTATAAGTTCTCCCAACCGTTTTTGAAATTTTTTCAACCGATTTTCAATGAAAATAAGACATAAAACAGGCTTTTAAAAATCTTTCAACACTCAAATGTCTGGAACGGTATAAAGAGCCAATTCATTGCTTTGTGACGATTCAAGTTCACCTAAAATGTAGTTACATTATAATAATATAGTTGGGAGGATTAGGAAATCAATCAGATCAGTTTTTCCCAATTTTTATCATTAATAATGGTCTGCTTTCACTCAAACTTTCAGATTATCTTTAATTGTACATCTAGCATTGAAGTTACTGCCTTAGCACCATTTTCTCTTCATATCATTGAGACAGGCAACATGTTTTACATTAACAGTGTATATGTTTTTCGTTCAAATGCCAATTCTGCAGCATCACACCCTAAAGGAAGTATCCTTTAAATCCCTCATCTCTTCTTCTGTTACAGCCCAAAGTGCAGCCATGGCTGTTTTGGATTGTGTACCGACATGTTTTCTGGTCATTATTGAAAACAAAGCTATGTAAATCTAGAAAAATGAGCATGGAAAATGTACAACAATTAAAATGATACTTGTTTGAAAACATGGTGACAATTTTTGAAACAGTTTTCCCTGTATAAGCATTCCTAGTTTACAAAATAAAGGCCAAGTTTACATGATTTTTACTATGAAAAAAACAACACTTTAAATTTGAATAAGTTATAGTTTCCAATAGAGTTTTAATGACAATCACAAACATGTATAACATGTTATAAAGTTTCTTTTACATAATAATATAGTCTCTGCAACTTTTAGTACTATACAATAATGCACACCTACTGTTTTAATAAAGGTAATTAAATGATGAGAGAGAGATTTAAACATACCGGTACCCATATTAAGCCAAAAAGACATGCAAAATGTCCAACATGTCTATTATTCTGTTAACTCCTTATATGCCACACAAATGATACCCCTGTGCCACACTGTATTTATCATGGGATAGATATACCAAAGGCTTCAAGATTATTCTTTTTAAAAGGCTGTCATGGAGCTAATCACAACAGTAACATGGGTAATTTTGGTAAGCCATTGTGTTGCTCAAAGATATCATGCAAAATTGCAACTGTGGCAAACGGGTGACCATGCAAAGAAAGCAACCAGTGTTAATATTTGATTATCACAGAGGTTGTACATGTATTTCAATCAGATAACAAATACCCAGTCCTCATTTATCAGGGATGAGACAATAAAATCATTGAAAAGTAGAAGAAAACTATAACATAAAATGCTCGTCTGCTCAGCAAGAAAAATTAAAGCAGGAAAACAGTCTATGATTCAGTCAGAAAACACAAGAGAAATGTTTAGAGAGAGAGCGTATTTCCACGCACCAATGTTAATGAAACTGAGGCAGATAAATGATGTACCTGATAACCATATCTGTGTTGACAATGTCTTGCAATCATGGTTATGCATGTTGTGAAATAGATATTGATGTTAACAAGTGTTATAACATCAGAACATGATCACATTTCAAAATCATCTGCAATACAGGTAATTCAAATGAACACGATGAGCCATTTGTTTTTTTCAAATAACATAGCTGTAACACATAGAAGTACCTTATCATCCTAAGTCATATTATTGCACATAATGTACATTTGTTCTACATTGGAAAGGACAGTATTTTCATTAAGCACCGATGGGGGCAGAACATGATTGTGGTTAAGCTCCAAGGGATAAAAAGGAGAGGGGTGATCACTGACACCCCTGCCTGCCCTCCTACACTGTATATCACCCATTTTACATGGTACTTAGCATGACAACAAAAATATTCTGAACTAAATTCAATGTCATTCAAGTTTCCCCAAAATACAAGTGTTTCTAATCTAAGGATTAACTAACATTTAACAAACCAAGTACATACCGGTATATGGAATATACAAAATTTGAGATAAATTTTTGTCTGGTTGCTTATTGCTTTAGATTTTCAAATCTATATATAGATGATCACAATCTATTATTACAAGAACAATTTGTGGTTGCATATCAAATAACATTGCATCTAGGGCTGAATATAATCTTAATTATAGAGGGTCAATCTACTTTAAAATGTGTAATACAGGCTACTGACCATACACTAAGTGTAACACAATCATTTGTTTTAAAAGGGTTGGTATGTATTACCAAGTAGCATGCCATTCCATGTACACCAAGTATACAGATTTGTGTTCCATTACAAGTATATTGTAGTTGTCCTTCCTATTCACACATATCACAACACACACCTTTACCACTAAAAAAAACAAGTACCGGTACTGTAAGGTTATTTAACATGTTTGATACATTTCTGAAGATGTCACTAGATTACTTTAGATATTATGCAACTAATGTTCCTTTTATAGAAAATAATATATGGACCCAAATATTAAAATTCTTTGTGAGGTTTTCTTCATGTACATTTTATCTAAATATTCTAAGTTATAAAGTTAAACAAATGATTCTTTTCATCCATGACTGCCTAATAATAACAATAATACCATATCCATGTAACATATAAACATCAACATATAAAGGTAAATGTATAGTGCATTACACTGGATCACATTTCTGGGTTATTCAGTGCAATGTGGTCTGTGCGACATATATCTTTCCTTTCTACATATTTTCATCAAAATATGAATCATCCCTTGAGATGACCATTGAATTTGCATCTCTATCATTAGTCATGGTCACACCAAGAGTTTGTTTAATTCATGGATGGAATAGATGGATCATAAATGTCACATGTTGAGCAGAACACATTGCATGGGATCCCCCTTCCTCACTTTAAGTTTAACCTTTCCTCTTTTAACCTATAAGATAACTTGATTATATATATATATATGGAATGAGATGGTAAGATATGTATATCTTCAAGGACATCAGCGGAAATCCTCAGCACTGAACATTCCCTGCAAATCAAACAGAGAAAAAGCAATCAGAATTTTTATATCAGAATAATAGATTACAAAATATACAACCTGCTCATTGTGCAATTGATGAATAATTCAAGACAAAAGACTTCATAAGTAATTGGAATTGAAATGAAATTACATGTATATCAAAGCAAACTACGTAAAAATCCTTAGAATTAGCAGTGGCAAAGTATCAATCAAATACAGGTACAAATATTTTTAGCAGCAATGAAGGATATGCCTTACAGCTATTATAAGGAATGTACCAATAATCTATGAAATTTCTATTTATATGTTTTATTTCAAACAGCTTATATATATATGACCCGTCAATAAAATAAACAATTATTAAAAAACAAGCATGGCAAGACCACAGCAACAAAATTGAAACTAAGGGATATAAAAGAGAAAAAAGGTAAAGGAAGAGAGAAGGAGAGAGAGAGAGGTGGGTAACAACAGAGCAATTAAAGCTACTATAGGACAAACCTTAGCTCTTCTGAGGATTGAATCTTTGCTAGGATCATAAGGACTATCTTTGGATGGGATCTCAAGAACAGATGGAACTGGATCAGTGTGACTATCTAAGAGATGACGTATATGCTCAGCTATGTTCTGGTTGATGAGGATGATTGCAATATCGGTGCGTGCAATAAAGTTCTTGAAGCATTCTTCAATCTCATGAACTGCAGTCTCTGAATAGATTTAAAAAAACAAAAAACATTGAGTTTTTGGTTATCCTAAGATATCAATTCTTCAACCTACAAGACAGTTTTGTCTTCTATACTGATAAATATATATTTTTTTTAACATACAGTTTACTAGTTTTACAAGGTATGTGTACCTTGAAGTTAACTAACTGTATGTTCATAGTAATGTGTGATTTCTAATTGATTACACATTTGTAAATTTGACACACCTGTTTGAATTCTTTAATCCATAATTGTATAACACTATAACCTTAATATTAAATAAATGAAATAAATTGTGAAATCTGCACAATCAGGGAAAAAATTAATATTTATTTTTCGGGGGCTACTTTTCAAGCTTGCCCGCATGAATATAACATTCTTAAACTTGTTTTGCATTGAACTCTATGCAAATTTATGGGGGCTCTTTTCTGATTTTCAGGGGCTCTTTTGGGCATTTCGGGGGCTAATTCGCCCTGAGCCCCAATACATGTTTTCTAAACTGTAAAATGTAGAGCAATACAGGTACAATCTTTTGGTCTTACTTTGTATCAATGGCAGCTTTATAAGACATCATCACATCGACAAACCAAATGGAAAAAACATAATGTATAAAGTCTGTTCATTTTGTCATATGATAGCAATTTGACATACCTTTCTCAACTACCATGAAGTTTGTTTGTCTCTTGTTATTGATTTCCCCGATACCCCCAAGCAGGAATCCTGTGCAAGTATCCTGTAAGAGATAAACAGAATAAATAACATTAAAAATAATATTTAAAAAATAATATATATACATATCTAGATTAAATTGTTACGCCATTCAGTTTCATAAATATTAGGCTTTGTGAAATTTCACTTAGCCCACTTCCTATCTGATGCGCGAAGCCATTTTTATGTCTCATCAATGTATTTCTCTTTAATGTAAAACAAAATAAAATAATCTTGACATTTAAAAAGGAGGGAAGAATATGAAATTACAAGGCTTTACACTTTATCAGTCACATTGGAGAAGGAATAGAAGGCTATAATAATAATAATAAAAACATTATTTATAAAGCGCTTACCACCGAAGTCTCTAAGGGCTATAACACACAACATAGACTGATAAACAACAATTACATATTAAACAAAACTAAAAAAAAGTGCAAATAAACCTACAAATTACAATACATAATGGAATACACATCAAAGTGAACATAGTTAATTAATCATCGAACGCAATTTCTATGAGGGAATTCAAGGCACTTTCAGTGTACATGTAGGTGTGAGAAACAGGGATTCTGGGCAGAGTCAAATTTACCCCTGTTGTGATTGGGAATACATGGTAAAAAAAACAAGCAAAAAAAAAACTTTTAATTCTGGCAACGTTGCATCACAAATTTATTTCATTTTGCTTAAAGGCCCACTGCACTACTTGTAGCTACTTGCGCCCTCTATATAACAAACCATGCCTAATCGGTGACCATTGGTCCCCCATGATCCTCTTTTTCTTATGTTAACTGAGAGCTGAGTTGATGAGATAACCACCTGTCCAGTGACCTTGCAGGGCAGTCTAATCCCTCCTGTAAACTATGGCAGATACGCTTTAAAGTGACTCGGTATTATTGTAGAAGGTTGATGAAAAAATTGTGTCATTTTTGTATGAAAAGTTACTTATTACTTTCCTTCTATTGTACTATCTCTAACATGTAAAAAATCCTGAAAAAATTCTTACACGTATTATTACAACACCCTTTAACAGTAAATTCTCCCAACCATTTTTGAATTTTCCCAGCCGTTTTTCTATGAATATAAGACATAAGACATGCTTTTTAAAATCTTTCAACACTTAAATGTCTGTAGTGATATATAGAGCCAATTCATTGCTTTATGACGATTTACATTCACCTAAAATTAAATTGCAATATTATAGTTGGGATTTGGGAGAATTAAGGAATCGATCAGATCAGTTTCCCCCCATTTTTTATCGTTAATAATGGTCTGTTTTCACTCAAACTTTCAGATTATCTTTAATTTTACATTTAGCATTGAAGTCACTACCTTTGCACCATTTTCTGAATTAGGAATTTTAAGCACGGTATGCCTTCGCACACATAGCTGCATAACTATCCTGTGTATTAAAAGCTGTGCTATTGATTCTCTCCATTTCAAACACCACTGTACAAAACTCAACTCAAAATCGGTACTTTAGTACCGATTGGTGACACCTAAATAGCAGTAAAATACAATTGTTTTAACTTTCCGATGTTAGAAAGAATAATTTTAAAAATCGACACGAAACAGGTAACAAACATAGACCTAGACTCTATCAACTTTTAAATCATGACCTTTATTTGGACATTTGATGAATATTTTCTTCATTTTGGGTATGTTTTAGACTTTTAGTACTTAGTAGGGTATCTCCACACTGGAGCTACGGGTCAAAGTCTAGATATACTTCTGAACTAGCGCCAACTCGGCATCTTTGGTCATATGAATTCAATCGATTGCGAGCTTTTATTATTTTAACACTACACAATTACCAATGTGTGGGACGAGGATCTGTCGCTATCGCCCAGTTCAAGCATCAACAATCCTATAAAATATGATAAAATATTATACTTACTTCATCACCGATTACAGCTACCAGTTTCCCTTTAGATAAATGTGCCATTTCTGCTCTCCTTTTGTAAAGATACGATGTAAATTATTGGCAGGATATGAGTAAATTCTGTAGGCCTAGATGAACTCGTCTTGTGACACTACCAGCAGTTTATTCCACTTCAGCTTGCCGTATAGTAGGCAAAGCTCAGGAGGGAATCATTTATTGGTGATCCAAAATTAAAGAAGTAAATGCTTGATCTTACCTTTAAAATGTTCCAATACTATTATTTAAAAATTAATTCATGATACTTTTTTAATTTTCATTCAATAAATCTAAAAACTAGGTGTTTTAAATTCCATATCTATACTCTAAAAATAAATTTCAGGGTCTTACCCCTGCAATGTAATGGGAATTTCCTATCTTTGACTGAGCCAAATAAATTGCTAGACAACTCGACCTCATGATAATCATTTCAATAATTTTCAAACTCGATATCAGATCAGATCTGATGTGTGTTCGCGACATTTTTTTTTTTTTTTTTGTGGAGTCCCAAAAAAATCGCAACGACTCAACCAGCTGAGGGGGGGGGGGGGGGGGGGGGGGGAGGAGTAAGAGGACACTTTTTTTTTTTTGGAGTCCCAAAAAAATCGCAACGACTCAGCCAGCTGAAAAGTCGCATAGTTGGGGGGGGGGGGGGGGGGGGGGGTAAGAGGACACTCTTTTTTTTTTGTGTTGGTCTCGAAATTTGGAAATTTGACATTTTTTCGTTGGGGGGGGGGGGGGGTAAGGTCACCTTTTTTAGGTCAGACATGGGCATAATTTTTTTAATTTTTAAAATTATTTTTAATTACAAAAAAAAAAAAAAAATGGGGGGGGGGGTTTAGGGGGATTTAAGGGGGGCTTACACACATTAAAAAACAAAAGGGGGGGTTCAACCCCAACCCCCCCCCCACCCCACCCCTGCGTACGAGCCTGGTTGTAGGGGATAGCAGCTGGGATTTCAGCACCCCCAATCAAAGGGGGAACAATTCTTGACTATTGGGACAGCATGCCACGTACATACTGTTTGTTCCTTATTTTTATGACATTTTATTTTATTACAAATCATGACAAATTTTCATTTTGAATGTAACAAGATGTTAAAATATTAATTCGTGATGAGATTTGGCATGCATGCCTATACAGGACCTTCACCTTCTGATGAAGAAATAAAATCTTCTGGTTGCCCATGCCTTGAGCCATAATGCATGGTCGTATAGAGGATTTTTATATGTTGGGTACCGGGGTAAAATGCAATGAATTATTGATAATTTATTGCATTTTGGTTTTGTTGTTGTGGGAACTGCTCCCCTACCCTAGCCCCCGCTGCGTACAGTCATGGTTCAGTTGTAAAGCAATGGCCTGTGAGGCCCCAGGATCAACCGTGTCGACTCGGATGTGCTATATTAGTGCCCTTTTGTGGGGCATTAATCCTCATTACTGTCATTTATGACTTAAGGACGTAGGTCCCCTAGTTGATAAGCATAGTAGCGTACACATGCTCTGGCAATCACGCAAAATAAAAACACTGGCAAATTATTATTAAACAAAATCTGAGAATGTATACTATTATCTAGATCTATTAGGAATAAATCATTGTCAAAATAATTCCATAAATGGGGTAAAAAAAAATATTCCAACTTTATGAGCAACAGTGTAATATCATAATTCCGTTGCTATTACAATTGATTAAATCATTATAAACATCTATTTTACAATCCAATCCAATCCAAAAGATATTTGATATAGCGCCTTTTCCTTGCAGTTACAAAGCGCTGCACACATGCTCGACAATGTTTGGGCCACTTAAAAAAACAAAAGTTAGACACTTCTCAGAGATCAGCAAAGTATATGTAGGCACTATATACAAGTTATCTGATCAACGTTATTCAAAAGCATTTCCCAAATGTTTCTTGTCATTGTTATGCTGACGACAAACAGTTACTAGTAGGCCCCAGTGGCGGATCCAGGGGGGGGGGGGGCCGGGGGGGGGGGGGCCGGGCGCCCCCCCCCTTGAGAAAAAAATCATGTAAAATCACGTGATTTTTACCTTTTTTTGGGGTTGGGCCCCCCCCCCCCTGGCGCTCAAGGGGGGGGGGGGTGCAAATTGAAATTATTTTGAGGATCAAAAAAAAAAATGTGCTCACTACCCCCCCCCCCCCCCCCCCCCCCCCCCCTTCACACGATCTCCGTCACATTAAAAAATACTTAGAATGGACTGAGTAAGCACAGAAAGCCATGTCCATGCATGCATTTCAATTAGCATAGGCTTCATTATTGGTATGGATTAATGTTTGGCTTGCCAGATTCACAATCAAGTTGCACCATGTTGAGAATGCATGTGCAAGACTTGTGTCCAATGCCTCAACATTTTCCCACATACTACACCTGTTTTTATTTAAGTTGATTGATTGATTTTATTCGCCAAACCTCCAATAAACAATATGAAAGAATAAAACAGATCAAAATTACAAGCTAGAAAGCTTATTTCCAGTGGGGCCCCGACATACATGTACAACATTAATGAATTAAAATCGTATTATTTACAGACAGATAAGGAAAAAACTGATTAAAGAGATGGTAATGATAATAACAGCATTAAACTAATAATGATAGAAAAAGGAGAAGAAGAAGAAGAAGAAAAGGAAGAAAAATAAGAAGGAGAAGAAGAAGAATTAGGAGAAGAGGAAATAATGATGAATATGTTTGACTTTCTAAAACGTACAAAATCATAAGTATTCTGTGTATTTCAATCATATAACATGATAAAGAAGAAAAAGAAGAAGAAGAAGAATAAAAGAAGAAGAAGAAGAAGAAGAGGAGGAGAGGAGAAGAAGAAGAAAAGAGGAGGAGGGGGAGGAAGAAGAGGAAAATAGTGATGAATATGTTGACTTTCTAAAACATACAGGCCTATATTATGTACAAAATTAAAAAGTATGAACCGGGCAGAGAAAAGAAAAGGGTTCTCTGTATTTCAATCATATTATAACATGTCATTCGCTTCTCTCCTCTTAAAATGAGCAAATTTTAGGAAGGGAATTCCAATGTTTTTGCAATGTAGCAAAACGAATTTCTAATACTACCTACTCTTTCGGGTAAGTTAAATTATCATAATCATGTAAGTCAGTGACAAGATCGAAGTTGAATCGATTATAATGATTCGACCATATTATGCACGTGAACGGTTGTTGATATTTGGTTTACTTCAAGAAAACCAGCTTTAGTGAGTTCGCTGTAGCCAACATGAATTCTTGGACCAGAACAGTTGATGAATCTCGATCACCCTTGTTCTCTTTTTCTTTTGATCTGACTTGTTTATGTTACTATATATAACATGCAGGCATATAAATAAACATTGAATAAGAGCAAAACAGAGTAGGCCAATGTCGTCTAACGGTCTTGCTTTTACTTTCAGATCCAAACGACTTAGCTTTCAGTTGCGCCGCTCCAAAGCTTTGGAATAACTCAGTACCGTACCTCCACTAGACAAAAAGAAAACCTCATCTAGCTGTTGCTGTCTTCAAAGTTTTTGTTGAAGACGCACTTGTTTTCAGGAGCTTTTGAATAGTTAAGAAAATTATATAGTGTGTATGTAAAGTAACACTTGTACTGTTAGTGTTAGGAGGTTTGTTTTCATGACCTGATGACAGCGTAGTCGTATAGCATGTATATTTACATCTTGGGATTTACATAGGAGCATGCGCTATACAAATTGATCTGATTATTATTTTTATTATTATTATTATCATAATAAAGAATGAATAGCCAAATTGATAGATAAGCCTGAGTAAATAAACAAACAAATATATGAATATACAAAATAACTATACAGATAATAGATAATCTTACGTACAACTAAAGGAGCATATGATAGTATGGACCGAGTACCAATTATGATCATGACGGAGTTTAATTATGGGCGAGTCATATTTTGCATGGATCTCCAGAATAACACAATCCCTGATTGCACCACACATTGGTGCATTACTATCCTGGCTGTGTATTAAAAGTTGTGCTATTGATTCTCAACATTTCAAACACCACTGTACAAAATTCAACTAATTTCATTCAAAATCAGTACTTTAGTGACGACTAATGACATCTAAATAGTAGTAAAATATATTTTTTTTAAAACTTTTTGATGTTAAAAAGAATAATTTTAAAATTCAAATTGTGAGTCCACTGTCAAACTTGCCGATCAGTTGCATCGGCATAATTGTGTGCATCTCTGTGTTATGCGTGTATTGACTATTCAGGTATTCAAATGCTGCCTATTAACACTAGGCAGTGCTAAAGGTCAATACGCATTAGCATTGACCCTCTATGCTTTGCTGGAGTAGATTGCACTGTACTTCTCAGAATTTCGCAGATAATTCTTCCTTTTGCACAAGATTGCGACTCTAGATTGTACCGAAAATTACAAGCTTACGACGCTGAATGGAGGTACCTATTGCTTGTGTATTTGTTTACTGTAATTTAGCAGATGTTTATTAAGAATAAATCATTCTTTATATGCGTTATGGTTATTCCAAACATATTTTTACATGAATGGGACTGGTTGGAAACAATGTCACTGAAGATGTTCCCAGAACTTCCCAGATTGACAAAACTAACAGGTTGTTTAAACGGACATTTGATTTAAAACGGTAGTTTGTAGAATTTTAGGAACAACTTGAGGATACCCCACCAGGGCCACCACTAAAAATTAAAATTGACCAAACCTTTGTGGTACCAATTACAATCTAGATCTAGATCTAGATTCTAGTAGTAGTCTAGATCTATGAAGCTAAATAAATCCTGAGACTTGTCTTGAGAGTCTAACTCTAAGCTTTTAAGCTAGTAGTAGGGACTAAAGTACTAAACCTAATCCTAACCCTAACCCTAGGTCTTTGATGTTTATGTACATTAACCCTATTAGTATTGGTGTGGTATTCTAAAGTTAAGCCAAATTTTACATGGGTTATTTTGCAATTAAAGATAAAGACCAGTTATGGTCATGTGATTGCAGAGACACCAAGTTCAAAGATCAGCAATGCGTGACTTTTGCATGAAGGTGAGGGTATAGCACACGTATAAGGTATAGGTCTAGATCTAGGTTTTTTCAAAATCTAGCGCGCGCGTTGTGCGTGGGAGCATTTCCAGACCTTCAAAATGCGTGATGTCAAGCCTAATGCGTGACACTTGGTAGCTCTGTGATTGCTAATTGTGAAAGAAACGTTGTGGAATCGATCAGAAAAGGTTGATCATCTAGCATATAGTCTAAGTATTGGTGTGTACTGCAAAGTTCTGGAATCATCAAAATGATATGAAATTTGGCCTAGATCTAGTCATGGTAAAGTTACAAGCACTGAACACAGCTCAGAAAGATGTATATGGGACTACGCACACGTGCGCGACACACACGTTATATCTATCAGGTCCAAATAGATATAAGAATTTACCAAATATATCAACTAGTAGGCGGTTTCTTTGCAAAATTTGTATGATCATGTATAGTCAAAACATATTCTTTCACATGATTGGTAATAAGAGCTTCCATTTCATTTTTTGAGAGTGGGGCGTTTACTTTCCAAAACTTTTAAGCCCATAAGGAAATCTTTTAGTTTTATGACTGTCTTGTCGTTGGTTCGTCATGTTGAGAGGTGTAGAGTCACTACTTTTACAAATTTCTTTTTTCTAAAAACTGGATTAAGATTGGAGAGGTATTTGTATAAGAACTGATGCATGCTTTTTGTTTTGTTTAATAATTTGTGTTTAGTCTTCAAGAATTTCCTTGCAATTTAATTTTTTAGCTTACCTACTTCTTTAATTAATCCTGTCGTGTCTTGAAGACCTGCACAGCAGATGAAAATGCAGATATATAAATTTTCCCCTTGCTACAACTATTTCTTTTCTCTCTACAGATGTGAATCAACCATTGACATGATCGTTTCACCATGTCTCTGATTGAGGGAATAGGAGATGAGGTAACCATCTTGGTGACCGTCATTGTTGCTGTGAGTACTGTAGTGGCTGCCTGGTTCTCAACATCTGTAACAGAACAGCAGCCTTACTGGCAAGATGAGCCTGCAGGCCCTGGATCTTCAGTGGACCCTGAGCCACCGTCTCAGCAGTCAGCAACAAACTCAGAGGATGGCTTAGTAGGAGAGGTGATAGCAGAAGCTTTTGAAAGACTCGATTCAGGAAGCTTCAGTGAGGGACTACCAGGTTCTTCTGAAACAGTCAATAGTACCATTCCATCATCAGAGACTGATTTAGGTTCTGAAGACCAAGCTGCAATCGTTGAAGAAAGAGTGATTGCAAGTTCTAGTGATAGTACAGAAAGTGTTTTTAAAAATGAGGCTTGTGGGTATGAGGAAGGACCAAAGCAGAATACTGCAAGTCAGAATTCAAGTTTTGAATGTATTGATGCAACAAACAATGTAAGTGGAAGCAGTACTTTAAAGACCAGTGCAGACTGTCCTTGTTTGGATACTACAGATGGAGTAAGTATTTACGAGAAACCTCCATCAGACATTGTGGAGGAGAGAGTGGAAGATGTACAAATTCATTCGGAAGAGCAGAGTGTCAGAAGAAGACCCATCCCAAGTACTGCATCTGATAAATCAGATTCCCAAACAGCTCATGACCAAACGGACCAATCACAGTCTCCCTCCCAAACAGAGACAGACAGAGACAACCAATCAGAGAAAATTTCTCATGATAATGTCAGAAGAGAAAATCAGCCGCAGTTGACGAGAGATCAGGCAGCAAGTGGTGTGATAACCATTAGATTACGGTTTCTGGATGAAACGGAAAGGGTCGTCTCAACAAACAAGGCAGATACTCTTGGAAATTTTAGAAGGTAAACAAAGTATACGTAGATGTATAATTAAAAAAATTAAATTAAAATGAATTTCACTTACCTAATGAAATGAAATGAATACTGGTATCCTCTAGTCTAATGAATAGTGCACTTTCCTTATTGCAGATATAACCTTCAATGTGAAAATGGTAACTGCAACCAAGCTTTCATGTACATCTGTAGTATTGCTTTATAAAATCTAATGGTATCATTAATGATGAACCTTAATCAATAATCAACCCATTATTCAATAGTATTATTAATATATTATTCATTCTGGTTCAATAACTTTGACAACATTGTGAAACTCATGTTTCTGTTTAGTGTTTATGAATATTCTTCTATCAGATTTATTTGAATCATCAATACAACTTGTTAACTTCTAAATTACCAATTTTTTTGTTCTCTGTTTTCTTTTTGTGATTCTTCTCTTCTACGACAGAGATATGTTTTCATCTGAGATGCAGTCAGGCCAGATAGTGCGTCTCATTGCCAACGGTCAACTCCTATCAGAAGAAAGCCGAACATTATCTTCATATGGTATCAACAACCAGCAGGTTATCCACTGCCAGATATCCCAGGCTTCTGCTCATACTCAACAAGGGCACCAGACTGTAGACACGGGAGATGGTGAATTTGATCTGGGGCGATACATGGTCCCTCTCTTTGCCTGCATTCTTGCCTTTATGTGGTACCTTAGGTTTCAGTATAGATACATGTTTAATGCAACCTCTACTCTCTCCCTTACAGCTGTAACAGCCGTTTTCTTCTTGGCTTTAATGGCTGTCTGGCGGACTTAGGATTTCCTTTCCTCCTTTTTGTTCTGCTTTCATTTTTTTTCATTTTTATTTGTATGTCTGCTTTCTTAATTTTCTTTCCTTCTTTTTTGTTGTTATAGTATATACTCTTGTATATCAGAGTGTTTGTGGTATGTAGGCTAGAATACACCTGAAAGTGAAACGGACATAAACATGATAAAATCCATTGTACCAAGGAAACTTATAACCATATTCATTGGACAAAACTGGTGGAGAACATTTGCAAATGAAATTAGTGCCTATACAGTTAACTTTAGAGTTATTATCTGTATCCTTGTATTCAGGCCCATATTTCAAAAATTAGAAAAGATGGGGATATTGATATATGCTCTTACTGTGATGATACATCATGTATTTGTTATCCCCTAGATAGCTGTGACAAGTATGTACAAGTGGTATAGCATTGGTGATACAATGTAAAGTCTGGTCATGCTTGATATCTTTTGCACCTACCGTAGCTCATAAAGTCCTCTGTTAGAGTGTAGAATGTTTGTTTGTATAGAGCTATCCAGTGTGAAGTAAACCTGGCATTTGAAAGCAAGTCATGTCCTTCCATCTAAATATGGATAGCTTGTTAGAGGGTACCAAATAATCACTAACATATTTTGTTTTATGCCTAAGGGATTCCATGTTGATTTACTTTGTGTATACTTCAGAATATGATATTAAAATAGTATTTCTTCAAAGATATATTGAAAGTTTAAATACACACATAAGTATAAATCTTGCACAGAACCCACATCCCCCTTGGGTTCCATGTGCATGTTTATATCCTTTATTTTCTTAATCCATGGAATACTAGGTACATTTTTGTAGATTGTTGAATATGTATAAACTAGTTATTTATACAAATTTTAAGGTAATAAGTAGAGTTTTAACCTTAGATGGGTTGGGGGAATTGTTGGAAATTATTTAGAATGGTACATTTATTCCATGAGAACAGTGTAGTGCCCTAAAAGAGAGACTTGGAATAGGTTAACACTTTTCTAGTGTTTATATCATGATTACATCACATGAGGATCTGTTCCTTTTAGAAAAAATTAAATTTTCTTTTCTAAATCAGTTAGAATTTAGATGTACATACGGTACAGAAGTATGAGTCATCTTTTGGATGTTTAGTTTAGTTATTTTAAACCCAATTAATATTCATGTATTATTATTAGTTGTCTTATACTACCCAGACGCATATGCATGTATGATTTATTGATTTTTGAGATGCAGATATTGTTGGTGAATTTGTGTTAGGATTTCGGTCATTCTTTATCTACCACCTATATTTATTGATGTGTGAAAAGGTATACCTAACAGTTTAAGACAAATGAAATTCAGACCATGTGAAGTTTGTGTAGGAGGAGATTCAATCCATATTGTGCTTTCTTGGTGCAATTTCTCAATTGATTATAAAAGGTATGGATGAATTTATCAGATTGTGTGTAATATGTCAGCAAAATAACAATGAAACAAACATACATAATTTTACTTTCATTGATGGGGTAGCTTTTCAGCATCAGATCTACTTCTGTATATTACTATACCAACATGAAATACTACCTTCTTTCTCAGTTTTTCAAACATTATTTATGCTTCTGTGTGTATTTCTTCTATTCAGTATTACCATGGAGTTACTAGCCATAGTATCCAAAAGTTTAGTAGTAATCATTTTAATTCATGTCATCAAAGTTATTACTATTTAGAAACAATATGTCATGACTTTGGCAGAGCACTTTCTAAGTTGCTTTGCAAAAGGTAGTCCTACAACTTTTGTTCATAATAACAGATTGTTTCCTGCATTTTCTTTTTGCATGCATATGTAGTATGTACTAAGTACATAATTTGTTGTTGTTGTTGGGGGGAGGGGGGTGAAATTTATATATATATATTTTTTTTTTTTTTATATTATTATTTTTTTTTCCTTCAAATTGTTATGCAGGTACCTATGTGATATAAAAATAGATATGTTAAATATCCTAAATGATAACTTGTATTGTAAAATGAATGACATAAATTTTATTCCCATGTTGAAAGTCAACTTACAGAGGTTGCTCATGTATGGTGCCATTTGAAAATATACCAGATCTCCAATGAAAAAAAAAATAGAAATTTGACATAATGATGTGTTTGAGGAATATAATCTTTGTAATTGGACAGAACTTGTTTCACTATTGTGCTTACTGCTTAAGTTAAACAGTTGGATGGTCCATGATATCAGTGCAATATTGTTTCATTTATCAAATTCTTGTACCATGTCACATGTACATGTATGCCCCCTTAGATCATGTATAACTCTTTGTTTGCTTGTGGTTTCTGCTTTTTTGGCAGTTAGTACTCAAATAAGATTTGAACTGAATTACATTTATTGATTCATCTGTCATGCACCAATTTTTTTAAATTGTATATTCAATTCGTTGTAAGCAATGTAAGCAAATAAAAGAAAATTTATTTCAAAGAGTTTGGAATGAATTTTCAAAGGTTTCATGCTGCATTTTTTTTTTTTTTTTAAAGTATGTCCTGCACACAAAACTATTTCAAAATGTTGAAAATAATAAATTTCATCTTTTTGTTAGAGTATGTGCATGTCTCAACATGAATCGAGGCATGAATTTGTTAAGGGGGAGTGGGTGGCACTGGGGGACCAAAGCACTTTGCAGATTGAAAGTAGCATAGCTACATTTATAACCCCCTAGTGTTTGGGAGAATTTGCACCCCCCCCCCCCCCCCCCCTCTTCTTCAGTCCCCCAAGCTTGGCAACAAGGAAGTTATGCACTGGCAAATGTCATGTGTTGCAGCTAAGAATGATCTCAGAAAAAAAAGCAAATTGCGAACTGGTTCTGAAACTTTATAATACTCTTTATCACTACCTTGAATTTTCAGGGTTTTTATTTTTAACTTTTTTTAAATTGATTTATATTTCATTTTTTAAACTGTTATTACTGATAACAAGGTTGACTGAAGTACACGTTATAGAAGTACTTCATCAATTTCTGATGCTATCATCTGATTATTCAAGATTGGTTAGTAATCAGATACATGTATGCTTATACTTCTGATTTCAGAGGTGCAGATTAGCTTTTATGTTTATTATTTACAACAGTATTCAGATCCTCATTAATTTTCCATATGGTATTTAGTTAGATGGTGTCTTTGTTGTGCACACAACGAAAATGTGATATTGGACAGAATTTATCTGTACAGTTTACATGTTTTTTGTTCATATTGTCATGCTAAAATTGGTTTTGTTATGATTAACTTTTCAATTAATTTTGTTTGACTTGATGGGTAGGTTATGTAGTTTGTGTTAAAGAGATACATGTGTCAAAAGCAAATGTTATTTATATTGTATTCTGAATATATAATTGTATATCTAACAATTTTATTGTGAATGAGGATTTTTCTGTGTGTGTGTTTCTCTGAGTCAAATGCACTAAACAGAACTTAAGAATAATAGAGATCTAAAGGTAAAGGGGAATCCTATCTTATTTTCAAGTTGGTCCAATAAAAGTAGAAAAATACAGAAACAGATCAGTAAAAGTTTGAGGAGAATTTGATGGAAAATGAAAAATACACATTTTTAAAGTTGCCTCTCCAAGGCAGATGCCAAAGACCATAAGGCTTGGAGAAGGGTCATAACAGAAGTGAAACAGAAATGAAATGCCCGACCTCACAGTGTGGAAAAAATGATGTTATCAATCAAACATATTGGTATTTCTATTTCTAGATCTAAGTAGATCTATTTCTAAAGAGGTTTGTAAAAAACTAGTCTCACACAAAGTATAACAGACATACAATGAAATGATTTCTTGGGAGGAAATTACATTACATTTTTAGTACTTAACAAATGAAAGAGATGCTTGCGATTCTGTTCGATTGATCACAACTTCAAAATTTCATATCGTTCTTATCCTTGAGTGGAATATCCTTAAACTTTTATACTGCTCTGTTCCTCACAAATTCATGCTTTCACTTATAGTGTGGTACGGTATGTCACTGAAACAGCTCCCATAGGATTTTTGTGCCAAAGTTGATTTTTTTTGTTTGTTGCATTTTTGGATTCATTGGGGTCCAAGCTATCAGAAATTGATGGGGTTCAAATTTTCCCGACACCAAATTTCCCCATTGCGTGTTATATATGCCATTTTGGCGCCCAATATGAACCCCCCAGGAAATAAACGAGGGATCTGAAAATTTGAACCTCATCATTTTTGGCCAATTGGGACCCTTTTGAAGCCAAAACAGCAAAAAGAAAAATCAACTTTGGCAAAAAAAATCCTACAGGATTACATACCATACTGCACTATTATGCCAACTTGAATAGTGGACTTCACCTTTTATATTTCATAATTTTTTTAAACAAATTTTTAAAGGTAATTTTAATTACTTTAAAGGATTGCAAATACCAGGCCAACTCACCTTATTTAAAGTTTACGAATATGTTAGGGGTTATATTACTTTTATGAAAAGATATTGCAATTTACATGAAACCGACTTATTTACTGTAATATATTGGTAATGAGGATTGATGCCTTATCAAAGGCAAGGCAACATAAATTAGGTGAAAAGCTTGATTACCCCCCCCCCCCCCCCCCCTCTCCTCTTTTTTTTCTCCCCCTCTCTCGTCCCTTCTCCCTCGTTTTATCCCCTCTTTATTTCCTTCTCTCTCTCTCTCTCTCTCTCTCACTCTACCTTTCTTTCTGACAACATCACCTCCATCACACATTCCAGATTCAATCAGTGTCATCCACATGTACAGTCTTATTTGAATGTCTTTACTTGTTTCTCTTAACCTATATTTTTAATTTAAGCAAAACCAAGTTCCTTGAAATGGCCTCCTCTCATCAATATATCATATGTGTGTTTCACACTTTATTTTCTATATTATACATCATCTGAATTAGCCCAAGCCCCAAGGTTTAGTCTAAAAGGTAAATTCAAAATCATGTAGTAGAGCAAAAGGAAACTAAAACTAATTGAAACTGATATCAAGGCACTTAGAATTATAAATAGAATGTTCTCAAGTGTATGATTTTTCATGGATGTATTCCAGTACTCATCTGTTAAGCCTTGTTCAGATATGTCTCAGTAATCCCAAATGTTTTTTTTCTCAAGATGACGCAAGTGTAATACGCTTCAAATATCTGTATCTTATAACAAAAAGCTAAGTGAATACTCATAGGACCTTTTTATTGAGCTCTCTTGCACTTTTTCTTTTCCTTTGTGACTCCTAACTTGTCGGCATTTCCCTCCTTTTCCTCTTGAGCCTTATCCTCATCTTCTTAAATAACTGAATGCAGTGTACATTACACATCCACTAATGCACAATTGAAGTTAGTTCAATACCATTTATTGAGTGGTTACTTTGACATGATCAGTGAGAATAGCATCAAGAAACAAATGAAGAATTCTATGTTAGAATTCCATATTATCACAGAATAGATTGATAAAATTTTATTTGGCCCAGTATTCTTTACACATGATATAATATATCAATTTAGTAAGATATGATCAAAAGAATTGCTTTTTTAGGGATTCCACATACAGCTATTTCAGAACCGAATTCCATGAATTCCATGACTTTGAAAAACCCATTTTTGCCTTTTTTCCTCGACCAGATAAGTACCATTTTGGTATGGGTTGCAGCATCCAAGCAGTGTACAAATACAAAGCTCATTGTCTGTTCAAACTGGAGGACTGCAATAGCCACACACAGCACATACCCATGATCAATCAATGTCCATCACTTTCCAGCTAGTTTTTCCATGACCATGAGAACCCTCTTTATTTTAGTTACTGCCACATTCAATCTAATGGCACATTCTTTTGTATTGTTCCTTCTCAAATGTGGTGTTGTTTGGTGTTTTACAACCTTTGGCCTGTTAGATATGATTTTATTTTGGTATAACACTGTTTTAAGAAGCTCTATTTTTATGATGAGCATTTCTAGCAAAACATACAACTGCATAACTCACCTGTGAAGAAGAAAAAACCCACAAGTTCATAATATACCAGACATTATCTTATTTTGTCTATGTACCAATTTTATCAGTGAAAAATGTTTAACCATACTTCTTTATTAATATACATGTAAAGCATATTTTTTTAGTTACAAATGTATGATATCTGCTCTTTATCTATTTTCATGCCCCTTTTGCATAATTTTGGACACTCTATGGCCCTTATTATGTACATGTATACCTGGCCAATTATTTCTAAAATATCTAAATTTGCTTGCCTATCAATATTTGTTCTTTGCCTTGAAAACGAAGATATTAGCTTGGCTATCATGCTTGTCAATTCCATTTCCTCACTACCATTTGGTAAGAAATAATAAAACATAAACATCTCCCATTTTATATAATTGTATTGTATACATGCTCAAATATATGTACAAAAACAATGCTTTTGAAAAGTAACCTAATTACTTTTAAGTACAAACAAGTCATTCATATGTTTTCTAACTTAACAACAGAAAATAGCATAATGATCTACTTCTACAAATGTTCCAACATTTTACACATGAATCCCTAGAACAGAGAGCTTTGCATTGAAGGTGAAATCATTAAATGATATAAACATACCGGTATCTGTTAACTACATCAGTGAACAAGAGCCAGACTTTTACACATACTTTTATATGCTAAAACAAATCCCTGCACTTAAAACACAAGGAATGAAACAAATTATATTGACATTTGACAAGACTGACAATAATATAAAAAATTAACGGTATGTTGCATTTGGTAATTCTTATGTTCATCATATTTATGTAAGACACTCCTAATATCAATCAGAGTTTTTGAAACACAAATAATATCACAGCCATGTTTTTACCTTTTCTAGATTTATGTAAAAATATATCACGGAAATGATAATATACACACCAATTAATTCCCTTCTTTACCAAGTTAAACATCATTATAAGCTAGCTAGTAGTAAAAAGGGTGACTACTAATAATAATTGACATTAAACAAATTGAGGTAAGTACCAGTAAAATGGAAAGCTCCTCATTTTAGATTTACTGAACTTGGAATGTTAGAAAAAGAAAGAGAAACAAACAAATAAATAATATTCTAACCGATATAAGATAGGCTCTTTTGCATTTAACAATGGGAGATAAAGAAAGATAAGATTTATCAATATTGTTTATATTACAAATAATATCAATCATTTCAAGAATGTAATTAATACAGATTGTGAGATATTTCAGTCACATTTGCTTCATTCGGATAGGAGTTAGTTTTTTTACGGCAAAAATGTGATTCAATTTTGTTTTTTTCTAGTTTTTCTACTATCGCTAATTCTATTTCTATGTCAGTAGAGATGATATCATTATTCTAAGTTAATATCCAAGTATCTACATTCAAACAATGTATATCATTCTTAAGTTTAGGTGAGATATAATGTTTACATACTTTTTAAATTTAAGAAGTCTTTTGTTTGCAGTTACATGGTCCTACTTGCAAGCTTCAATTCAACAACATTCACTTACATACCTACAAGAAGGGTTACAAGAAGTCTTTGCTACGTTAGTATACAAGTGTACATCCCAAAAATAATTCTTTCTTTGCAAGGCACTTGGTGACTTTAATGTGAAAATGGTCATCTGCCACTGTGTTCTCATACATGAATATAACTTGTTTGCAATTAATCACAAAACACATACCATCGATTCCTTTTATATATTCACAAACATGTCACTATGCAAAAGCTAAGACTTAATATAACTTATAAGACATCTAACTACTGATTTGCTAATACTAATCCATTGTTTATTGAAAAGAGTCAAGAAATTATTGTTTTTATCAATCAATTGGCTACAGTGCACAATGGTCTTGAAAATCTAATATCTACACATGTAGATAGTCCAACATGAATCAACACAATTATATGTATCTATAATGTTGGGTAAGTAAAGATTGTTTGATGCACCTTAAACAAAGCTAATGCATTGGGCATTCTTTTTAATTTTTCTTTAAATGTTTTCAATTTCAATTTTGCTGACCTGTAGATTAATTGCTTCACCGGCCTATTAAGATGCTTCAACATAGTTTGATGGAAGCATACCACTTTCACCTGTACGTTTGACAGTGCCCTGCATCCAACCTGCATCAATGACTTCAGCATTGATGATCATGTCTCCCTCCAGGAAGGACACCTCGTCTTCATCTGCTGCCTGTCATGTCCAAACAATAACAAAATGAAGAAGAAAAAGCAATAAAGCAAAGAGCCTGTATGGATTATTTAGGGTTGGTTGAACAACACTTGCTCCATGTAAAAGTCTAAACTCAACACTATATTTACCACTAATCCTACCCCTATCCCTAAACGTAAACTAAAACCCAACTGCAATCCTATCCTCAACCTTATGTTTTTGACAAAATAAATCCTGGGGCAGCTGTTCTTGGGTAAATGTTGGGTCACTGATTTTAAGACGAGACAGAAAAATGGTAAACAAAGTTCCAATGTACATAATACATGGTTCTACACTAGCCTTTTGGAAAGGGGTCTGAATTGAAGTTTTTAGAGTGTGCATGTGTGAGTCCTATGTAAAACCTCAACATTTATGGGGTTCAGACTTAGAGTTTGGGCACCTATCTGTCCTAGATGCCTGCGTGTTAGTGTCAAGCCAGGCATAGGTTTTTACCAAAGTTTTCTACTTCATGGTTTCCCTTATATTACTTTGGGGATACTTTTTGCATTCAATTAAGGAAACATACAATTACATAAGCTTCCTTCCCCTAATACCTTGTCCCAGTACAAGTAAAATCAAACTGTAAACAATAAAAGAGGTACAAATTTAAAATGGAAGATGATTAAATATATATTCAACCTTTCCATGCTACCATGTTTTTCAGCAATTGTCGTAAAACCATCAAGAATTAAATCTTGACTTAGAATTCTTTATTCCAACTTGAATCTGCACAATAAAGCAGGCAATATAGGAACATGTACTTGTTTCTGTGTTGGCCCAAACAAGGTTGCTCAAGATTTGCTGCCCATGGCACAGATGTGCTTTTGCAAAACATTTGCCACTCTCCACCCAGGTAGGAAGTGAATATTACTTTGGATTGGCTTGTGTGCACTTGTCAAATACTCCCCAGGGAGCGGAGCATGCGAACTATCATGTGCAGATTACCAAATGAATCCAATAACTGGGGTAACAATAGTTACATAACAAATCTATTATCTAGTATTAGGCACTAGACAAAAGTGATTACTAGTATTATTATTACTATTACATGTATTATCATATGATTGTTATTATTGTTGTAGTTGTTGTCATCATCATTATTATTATTAATATTCATATTATTCATTATTATTGTTATCATTATCATCATCATTATCATTAACACTACTATTATTTCTATGACTATCAATTTTATAAACGGGTTAAAAGTGAGATGAGAAGGGAGACTTACAGCGTAGTCATAGACTGCCACATACTGTGGTCCGGATGAAGCGGCAGGAGGAGGAGGAGCAGAGAGCTGCTGGGGAGGGGGTTGCTGGACAGGTGCTGCTGGCTGGGGAGGGGGTGGCTGGTATGGGGGATCAGCCCGCCCAGCTGGAGGCTGATACTAGGTGGAGAAAAAGAAAATAGATGTAATCATCAACTTCAGGGAGAATTTCATAGAGGGAGAGAAAGACACTTGATGATATCTTAATGCCACTTAAATAGCACCATTGGTCTCATGATGTAGTTCTATTAAGCCTGGTCCACACAACACAGTAAACTGCTTTTTCAAATGTAAGAATTTTACTCTTTATTAAACAGATTAATAATTGCACATAAAGCCTTTGTTACACACGGGTCTTTTTTCACCTCTATCTGCCATTCATTTACATGTGGATTTCTTTAAATCTTGCCATAGCACTCAGTGGAGGTGGTTTAGAGAGTCATGTTTCAACGAGCCTTTAGTAAATGGATGTCATACATTAGATACATGTATATCTGGGATGTTTGTACTGGCCCATTTCAATCATAAAAATGGAAGACAAAATCTATCTTACAACCATCCGATATGCATAGCATGTGTTAATAATCACTGCATGCAAGGACATCTTTAATTCTCCTTATTGCATATCATAAGCTTTTTTTTAATCCTAAACATTTCATCACTCTTGGGGGGGGGGGGGGGAGGGGAAGGGGGCATGCAAATGAGTAACTTCTGGTGTAATTGCTCATGCACATCTTTGATATTGTTCATCTTTGACAATATTTGGATAGATGCATCCATGCTAGCTAACAAAGAGTCTTTCAAATCCTGCACCGACATTCTTCAAAACCAGTCATGAGAATAATCCATGTTTAAACTCTGATCAAGAATTTTCAAATTTATGTCAAAATTCATGAATGCAATATCCCACCCGAAGGAAGGCTAGTTAGAAAAGACACATATAGACCTCAGTATACCTCAGATATCAGTATTAAGAGCCTATATGCTAAAGGGATAATTCTAGTGAGGAACTGAATGAAACATGGGTGAAGAGACTTTTCTCTATCTATCTACTCAACATTAAATAATTATGTTATTTACTTTCCTTCATCAATCCACAAAAGTGATACAAGTTACTACAATGTAAATGATTCTAATCCTTTCTGAGAATGATGGAGACAGTCCATGCGGTCAGTGGAGTTTATAAAGGCACTTTACCTGCTCGGGTTGAGCATATCCCATACTTGGGGGAGGGGCACCGGGGAGAGAGGCTTGGCCTTTAAGTAGGGATGGGACATTTGATTTGTATGTCACATCAGAAGCCTGGTGAGTATCTGTAAATAAAATATCAACAAAATAAAAGCAGAATTGAGTATTGTGTAGATCATATTTTTTAATAGAAGACTTTCAGCTCCAATACAAAAACTGGATTGCATGTGGTTAAGTCACAATATCATAGGAAAATGATGAGAATTGTCAAGTTCATTGTCCCTCTCATTGTGACTTAACCAAGTGCAGTGAATATGCACTCGTAAACATGAATTATTTTTACACTAATACATCCAGATTGGAGCAATTGCCTGATCACCAAATTAAATAGTATAGTATCAATGACTGCTTTGAGAGAAATAGTTGTTTTTATACGCTCAAGGGAAGGTTAGAATTGTGCTATTGCCCGAGGCGTGCCCAAAAAAAAAGAGTCAACTTATGACACCACCTTGGCCTTTATTTAGTTTATCTGCACGGTTGTTTTTTATGAGTGTATCTTTGAGAGTAGACTAAAATAAAAAATTAAAAATTTTTGTCGAAGACTGGATTCAATCTCTTGCGCACCAACGATGATATGACTAAAATCACCGCCTTAGACTGCTCGGCCATCGCGCGCTGATACAATAATTATCATTTTTTTCTAATGTATACATTAAAATGGATTGAAAACGGCTTCACGTGCAGGATGCCTCGCGGCAGCTCCATTAAATGGGCCCTTCTTTTACTTTTGCAATGCATTGGCACAAACTTAGATCAAGATCTATCGGCAAATGTTGTTTTTGGAAGTTTATTTTCGTCTTCATGTCAACAATGCAAGATAAAATTGTTGGTAAGATCGATCGAGATTCAATTGTATTGAAATTACCGACCAATTCATCGGGCATTCATCGCACACATACGGTATCCTTGATCGCTCAGACCATTTTTTAACATGTCAACCTATGGGTATTTCACCGAGACTGAACTATTTTCCCGGTAACCATGGTTACTGGGATTTTAGAACTATTTTTTAGAACTATTACATGGGTTTGGAATTTTAACGGGAATTTTACAGGAAAAGTTAAAGTTTATGAATGCAATTTCGACCAATCAGATGGCTGGATTTCTTAAGTGAGGTATATAATTTACCCTATATATATATATTGCAATAAAGGTTTAATGATTTATTCTGAATGATTTAAAGTAGATCAATAGCAATCTCCAGGAAAAAAGTAATGGCGATAATCACTACTGGATTGGATTCATAATATGGGTAGCATATCATCATTCCAAATCTTTAAAATATATTCAGTATAGGACATCGAGAGAGAGGATCATAGACTAGTTTACAAATAGTGAATGCTTTCAATATCTCCTTCATTATGAATTACAACAGAATTAATAAAATTGCTTTCATAAAAGTCATCATAAATACTACATATCCAATTAGGTACAGTGTATGAGCCAGAAGGATCCGTATAAATAAATTATTCTTACTTTTCTTAAGTCGTAAGCTTTCTGGATCATCGGACACAGTGGTGAACTTCCCCAAATTCTCCTTGTGCCCTGAAGCGTACGCCAACTGCAAAAAAATAAAGGGAAGAAAAAGATATGTACAGATTCATATAAGCCTTCAAATTCCCCAACTGTTAAGAAACCTTGTCCAGCATAATAATAATGATAATAATAATATTGGCATTTATATAGCACTCTTACAGACATACATGTGTATCACAGCATAAGATGTAATTACATTATTTAGGTGTGCCATCGGTAATCAAAGAATTATTTATTTATGAGATTAATGAAAATATATGTCCAAATAATGACCACATAAGATATTTGGAAAATTGGAAAAGTTGAGTGAGATGTGTATTATCTCTATAATCACATCTGATGATTTGAGCAAGTTTTGAATGGGGGAGGAGGGGGGGGGGGGCAGCGCTCAAAATACACGGGGGCGGTGGGCGATTCGCCCCCGTGAGCTCCATAATCACCCCCGTCAGGTTGGAATTTTGACTGCGCGCAGTCGAAAATGATGCCTCCGCCATAGAGCAATTTAAACAAGTTTGGAGTTTAAATCTCCAGTTGTTCTTGAGATATCATGATAACAATCTCAATGTATGGAATTTCATAAGTTGACCTCTGTGACCCTTGACCTTTGACCTACGTGCTCCAAAATCTAATCAGATTGTCTTCCTATGGTGATACACACTATCATTAAGTTTGAAGTTTAAATCTCCAGTGGTTCTTGAGATATTATGATATGGTGATACATACTATCATTAAGTTTGAAGTGAAAATTCTCCAGTGGTTCTTGAGATATCGCGATAACGATCTCAATGTATGGAGTTTCATAAGTTGACCTCTGTGACCCTTGACCTTTGACCTACGTGCTCCAAAATCTAATCAGATTGTCTTCCTATGGTGATACACACTATCATTAAGTTTGAAGTTTAAATCTCCAGTGGTTCTTGAGATATCATGATAACAATCTCAATGTATGGAATTTCATAAGTTGACCTCTATGACCCTTGACCTTTGACCTACGTGCTCCAAAATCTAACCAGATTGTCTTCCTATGGTGATACACACTATCCTTAAGTTTGAAGTTTTTACATCTCCAGTGGTTCTTGAGATATCATGATAACAATCTCAATGTATGGAATTTCATAAGTTGACCTCTATGACCCTTGACCTTTAACCTACGTGCTCCAAAATGTAATCAGATTGTTTTCCTACAGTGATACACACTATCACTAAGTTTGAAGTTTAAATCTCCAGTGGTTCTTGAGATATCATGATAACAATCTCAATGTATGGAATTTCATAAGTTGACCTCTGTGACCCTTGACCTTTGACATACGTGCTCCAAAATCTAACCAGATTGTCTTCCTATGGTGATACACACTATCCTTAAGTTTGAAGTTTTTACATCTCCAGTGGTTCTTGAGATATCATGATAACAATCTCAATGTATGGAATTTCATAAGTTGACCTCTATGACCCTTGACCTTTGACCTACGTGCTCCAAAATGTAATCAGATTGTTTTCCTACAGTGATACACACTATCACTAAGTTTGAAGTTTAAATCTCCAGTGGTTCTTGAGATATCATGATAACAATCTCAATGTATGGAATTTCATAAGTTGACCTCTGTGACCCTTGACCTTTGACATACGTGCTCCAAAATCTAATCAGATCGTCTTCCTATGGTGATACATACTATCCTTAAGTTTGAAGTTTAAATCTTAAATGGTTCTTGAGATATCGCGCTAACAAACTCAATACAAGGAATTTCATAAGTTGACCTCTGTGACCTGTGACCTTTGACCTACGTACTCCAAAATCTAATCAGATCGTCTTCCTATGGTGATAAATACTATTCCCGAGTCTTAAGTTTAAATCTTAAATGGTTCTTGAGATATTGTGATAACGGTCAAACGGGACGGACGTACGGACGTACGGACGGACAACCCGAAAACATGATGCCTCCGGCACCACCTTCGGTGGCGGAGGCATAAAAACCCCCCCTCGTGGAATTATAAAATAAAGATTATCTTTTCTGATATAACTTTAACACAATATTGAGTATAAGTTTTCAAACATTAAACCAATGAAATGGAACTTAGATGGCGCTTTCTCTCCAATCTCTATGAGTATTACCGATACAAACAACGGAAGCTCGCAGTGCAGCTAGAGCGGTCGTCAGCACTGGCTATACTGCGCGGGTAGGACCGGTGTGCACGCTGATGCCCAATATCTGCTGGAGCTGGAGACGATCGCGCAAGGACTGAAACATAAAGCAGTTTTTCGTTGTGAAAAGTGTGAATTCTCTGAAATCTGGTGATTCTAAAAGACCATCAAATAATGTAACTCGACCAGTAAATCAATATTGAGAAGAAGAAGAAGACCAAAGATGTTGCAGGGGCGGATCTAGGCGGTTTAGGGGGTTTAACCCACCCTCCCCCCCCCCCCCCCTTGGGCTGCCAAGTGAAAATGCGATGTGCATAGAAAAATGCTGTCATGTGTCCAGACCTACACAGTATTAGTAGATGTCAGTAGAAGCCAGGAAAACATCACTAACGGGGGTTCCAAAAAGCACCCCAAAAAATCGCCTCGCCGCCTTGCGGCTCGTGGACGATGCTCTGCATGTTTGTAGATGCCAGGAAACATCACTTACGGGGGTTCAAAATAGCAACAACAAAAATCGCCTCGCCGCTATGCGGCTCGTGGACGATGCTCCACATCGTATTTGGGTTACCCCCCTCACCCTTAGCAAAAAGCTAGATCCGCCCCTGTGTTTTGGAAGGATATGGTAAAGACTAAAAGTAAAGAAAGAATGCAAATTAGGTTGCTCCGAATAATGAGGAGGAAATTATGTGCAGAACGGGAAGAAATGGAGAGAATGTCATCACCGGGATAAAAGTCAATAACAGCTATGTAACAAGTAAATTTTTTAGAGGGAAAATGCCGACTTAATAATAATAATAATAATAACTTATATCGCGCCAAATCCACTCTGTGGAGTGCTCAAGGCGTGTGTAAACAGGAAAAAGGATCAAGACTTAATAAATGATAATGATAAAATACCAAGGAGTTTCATGGGTACCAATTCAATGGAAATTTGTATTAAAATAAGAGCCCCCTGTCAGCCTTCTCACGGGGGCTCTTTTTTTTTTGGAAGAGCCCCCGTGGACAAAAAATTAATTTGAGCCCTGGGGGGGGGGGGTAGTGTTGTATCCAGGCCTTCACCTTAGGAAGGGGAAAAAATTTCCATGTGCAGTCATACAAAAGCACTGCAGTAAAATATGGTGGTTCAACCCCCCCCCCCTCCCCATCAAGTGTCACATTTCTATAACAAATTTGCTCTCAGCGGCCAATCAAATGCAATGATTTCAGTAGCTTATAATAGTTATTGCACTTTGTTATTGATAACACGTTTTATGAAGCAGGGCCGAAGTGTGAATGAGCAATAGAGATGGTACATTCCACATCATGTAGAGTTTGTAGACGTATCCTATAAATAGAGAACATCCTTTATGAACTTACATTACTTTGGTTTTTGGTTTGCTGGGAGAGACGACGGTTCTCAGGTGTGTCAGCTACAGAAGTAAATTTAGTGGTTGGGTAGTGGCTGCATGAAGAAAGAAGAGAAGGATCATGGGTTATTATATAATCTACAGTATATTTAGAGTCATCTAAAAATCACAAAACAAATTGTCCATGTCATTTTTCCATTATTCCTCAGAACAGAACAGCGTTTTTAAGTGCAAAATGGTGATTTAGTGCAATGTCTCTTTTGCAACATAATTCTTTATCTATTTATTTCAAAGCTGTAACCCTAAAAATTTACTTAAAGAGCATGTTAAGTACATCTGATTAAGTTGAACATATTCTTTCAGCTCTCCCTCCTTCACTTATCTCTCTTCTTTTGTGTTCCCATGTGACAGTATTTTAACACAGAAATGTCATATGACATGAATTATTTTTTTCTATCAAATCTCCTGCAACCAATCAAAACTTTACCAACAAAAAGTAATCTTTGATCAATCCTATGTTACAGATAGACACAATGCATGTTTAAGATACAATTCATTTCAGCAAGATTGTAAGTCAATTTTTATGTTACATGTCCAAGCTAGGACACAACAACAGTGGTGGATCTGGGGGAAGGGGATACAACTAGCAGTACCCATCCTTTTGAATCCCACTCTAGTCCCACCATTTTTAATCACCTATAAACTTTTGTATTTGTTTCCCCTCCCCCTTTGATGTACCTCTGCTAGCTTTGCCTTGAATGGTTTGTGGTCTGTAAAACTTAATGATACTCACGTATTACAGTAGGGTAACTTGTTGTACCCCTTGTAGTTCTTCATATTCAATGACAGGCCGCATGTTTCACACTTGAAACATAACTTGTGCCAACTCTGAAAATAAATTATGACATAGGTAATGGATTATAATATAGCATAGTCTATCATAATATGACTTTATAAATTACATTGCTATCTACAACAGATCTATGCTTGTTTCAAATGTACTGTAGAAATAAACTTGATTCCCTTCAAGTCTGGGAGAAGGCACGCTGTTTTGTTCCATTGGAACAGCATACACAGTACATGCAAGTACATATTTGTTTTACATGACCACAGAATATTATCTGATAACACAGTTCCGTCATATACTTACAAATAAAACAAAAGAAAGGTTTCATATGTTGACATCTTGTTTTGGCTGCATCACTATAAAATCAATTTCTTCATCAATAACAGCTTCTTTGGAAAGCTACGGTTACAGTAATAACTTTTACAATGGTCATTAATTTACAGCAATAATTTGGACATTCCTAAACAAATAAAATCTAGAGGCTTGCAGCGGTATAATGACAGTTGCTCCTGTTAATTGGTCAGTAGTAATTTCCTACACTAACTGAATTCCTAAAATCCACCCTGAACCCAACATTACTCCTAATCTTTAGAACCTACACTTATGACAACAACTTCTATGATAATGTGAAACAACAGTTAGTTTGCAAGAGCACTATAGAAATGACTTTATTGTATTGTATTGTGTTGTATGACAAAATATGAGGAGATCCTTACTCGCATTTATGTGTCGCATTGACTTTGTCCCATATGAACCCTCATCGTAGTTAGTGGATCATTGTTTATAACATCAGGGTTTTGTCAACTTAGATTCTAAAACTATGATGGTCCCATGTGAACATAACCATTATCACTCAGGAGATCATGGTTCTCTTATACCATGAACTGAATCCAGAATACAATCTACCGGTAGTAGATAAGACCTGGAGTACACATTAAATCACATTACAGAATTAGTTTAAATTTAAAATGATCAGTTCTGCTTCCTGACTTTATATGGTCATGTTGATTCCTTTCAAGAAAATGAAAAAATGTGGCTAGGAGGTATCAATAGAAGAAATATGACTTACATAGGTTACCATGACTTTTTCGGAGCATTAATGGTTCATCATTCAACTTCTATTTTATTACTAACAGCCTGAATTATCATTTATATCCAAATTAAATTTTTAACATAAAAATATTTTTAAAATGTAAACATTTATTTAAAAAAAATTCTTGCCCCCAAATCCCATCCTCAGACAAAATAATTTGTTAATCATTACATGACATATATTTTTCCAAAATAAATTATTAGAAATTTGCCAAGCGGTCCACAATCAAGGAGTATATAGAGGGAAGTCTTGAATTTAAAATTAGGCCCTTGCACATGGAACGTACGACATTATAGCTTTCATTTTTGCCTAATTTTATGTCTATATACTCAACAGTTCCTCTTTTTTTTTTAATATAAATTTTCGAAGTTGCGATCAATCAAACACAAATTGGCAACACTGTGACATATCTTGCGAGGTCCTCTCCAATTTTCTCTGTACAGAAATTTTCCTAAACTTTCATTTTCTTAGTTATTAGTGATGGAACAGATATGTTTCATACAGGTTTTGTATATATATACAATTATTGCAAATATTTGTTTTTATATATATATATATATATATATATATATATATATATATATATATATATATATATAAACAAATATTTTCAATAATTGTATATTTGGTGCATGTAGGAGTGAAAATTTTCTAAAGGGGAAATAGAAATTTCTGATGTTTGTTAAAGTTCAGAATAAATGGGAGGGGAACTTGCAAGAAACATCACAGAATTGCCAATTTGTTGTGTTTGACTGATCGCAATTCTAAAAATTCATAACTTTCTTACTTCTAATCAAATTATGCTCAAAATGTCACTGGCCTCACTGTTTCTCTCATTTTCTGCTTCTATTAAAACCAACCTGAAATCAGGGTAGACTTCCCCTTTAAAGTATTTTTAGCTACTTCCTCTTATCCTACAAACACTTCATCCCTCCTCCCCTTCTTCCTTCCTTGTTCTAAACATCCTTCTCTCACAATAAATAATTCCTCACAGTATTACAAATTTGCAAACAAACTCCTTACATGGGCATCTGTTAAGAGCCAGAACCGTGTTAACTCTGTATTTAAGAATATGAGTCAATGCCCTTCTGGCATGTACATGTAGTTAATGTCCTTTTGGTTCTTCAGATCATCTCAATTAAATGCTTGTGAAGTGGCTTTGCAATGATGAAAGTCATGTTAATCATGTATACTACAATTACATACAGGGCAATGACTCGAGTTAGTTTCACTGTGAGCAATAATGACTTTGTATGATGTATCATTATCATTGTTCATACAGTAAAACCTAAAAGACAACTTAAGGGAGACAACTTAAGGCAAGGTCTTTCAAGAGAAACTAAAAATGTGGCCTTTATAAACAGATGATCTTTCTATACAGGTGGTCGCTAAAGAAGGTTTCACTGTATATACCATTTTGTCTTGTCAGAAATTTCAGTCACAGTGCATTGTATCTAGACTTTCATGATAAACAGGTCTTGAAGCAGTTAGCACCAGGGGTGGTATTCTAAGCATGATTTTATTTTATCTTTGATTAAAAAACGATCTGTATTCTGAGGCCAATTGATATCAGAGATCTTATCTGAAGTTATTTTAAGTAATTAGGACCTGGCTAATTACTTGTATGTTTTTAGATCATACAAGTAATTTTATCAATAGTCACACTAAAGCCAACGTATCATTTTAGGGAAAGATGCGGGAATATGATATCCTAAAATATTTTAAACGAAAGGCATATAAGAGAAGTAATTTTCAATAGAAAGAAAAAAACCCACCGTTAAAACAAATCAAAGTTTTCCTTCATGACTTTTATACAGCCACATAGTATGAAAGTATGAAGTATGCCAATTATAAAAACTGACCTTCTTCTCAGCTTTCATTTAACAAATCTGTGATAAGTTTCTATTTAAGTAATCACTAGTAATCAGTATGTGAAACCAAAAGACAAACAACTATTTATTTAAGAGTGTGGTCATAGAACATGCTTGATGCTCTCATTATTAATATCAAGCATAGAAACTGAAATTAGGTTGCCAACCCAATAAGGTGTGATTCCACATTTACTTCACCAGTATTTTGTCAAGTGAAGGGTTTGGGTAAGGATTGCACATGGGTTTTAGGATAAGTTTAGGTAGAGTGTCCAGGGCTGATGTCAGAAATACAGTTTGTGTAGGAAATGATCGCAGAGCAAACCGTCGCAGTAGCATGTATCATTGTCATACAATCCCCACGCATCATATCCTCAATAAAATGAACCCAAGATTTAGGAATGTTTGGCCCTTCAGCATCATAGAAGTATGAGAACATGATTGTACTTGAAAATGATGGATAAGTTGGAAGCAAGTTTTTCAAGTAAGTATATATATCCCCAAAGGCAGCCTTAGATAGGGTTAACCTGTCTTTGAATGATAGCATCACATGGCTTTAAATATTTAGCTTCCATGTGCTTAGTTATCATCTTTTTCATTCAACCATACAAACATTCACATCTTCTCAAACAAGCAATCATGAGCTCACATGAAGACATTCAAATCTCAAACTGTGTTGCACCCCTCATCAGAACAACCCCTCAACAGAAATAAAATCTTCACACATTGTTACAGTTGGGTAAAAATGTAATTTAATGTATACTTTCTCTAAAATCATGATTTAGCTGTTGTCTCAAATTATACAATTTGTACTCATTCCATAGTTTTGATTATGGGATACGAAGAGTAAATAATACATAGGTACATAAAATGAAATATATCTTAAACTCAATGTCATATGATACTAGCTCTCTCCATTCAATGGTTTAAAAGCTTCAGATGTTAAGTAATAATGTTAGTACTACACTATTCTTTTCCTTCTATTCTGACTCGATTTCAAATTGAGTTCACTTATGAAACACTATATTATGTGGTTTTACTAAGGTAATTGGCAGTATTATTTCTCGATTCCTCACAATGCAGCATTCTCACCTTGGCACATGATACACAGTGAATTGTATGCATAGGTCACCTTGATCTTAAATTAGATTCTACTCAAAATTAGTGACTAGCAGTGCCTTCTCTACTCTGTTTCTGAAATTTTAATGTTAATTCTTAACAATGTTGGATATCATTGTACATTTCCTTGTGAGATTCTCTTGTGACATAACAATCTACATTTGCACTAAAGAAATCTGTGGAAAGAAGAATGGGAGGGGGGGGGGAGATCTGCACTATTGTATTGACTTCCCAAATCCTCTTGTTTTTTGTTAAAAACTGGGATTGGATCAATTTTGGGTTGATCTATATTTACAAAGTACACCTAATCTTCAATAGCATTGATCACAAAATAAATGATATGTTATTTTAAATTCATTGTGAGATTTGAAGCATTGTATCACCTTGTCGTTAAATACATACAAGCAATACTATCTAACCTAAATATCTATGTACATATGGAAGCAAGAGAGACAATAACCAACAAAATAAAGTATGAACATCTACACATGAATCAGAGAAAAGAAATCACAATATGCATGCATGATAGCCACTCGTTTATGGAAGTAAAGCATGCTGGAGTTTGAAGGAAGAATGGTAGTACTAACAAATGAGGAAGATATTTTTCAGAATAGACAGAAACCAAAGAAGAGAAACAAGTGATATAGCTTTTATGACAAGCCAATTCTCATAGAGAATGTGATTTCAAATTACATAGGACACACTGCCCGATAGTTTACACAATTTGAAAAGGAGCCTAACTACTCTTGAAATTGAAAATTTGAGTGAAACAAAATAAAACAATGGTAACTTCTTTCCTGTGGAGCTATTAACTATCAATTTAAAAGAGAAAGAGATGTAAAGCCAATCCATCCACAGACATTACCAATATTCTTTTTTATTTGTTGCTTTTCATACTCCCTCTTCATTAAGTAAGAAATTCTATCTAGACAACAAGCACCCTGTTAAAAAATGACTGAATTTGTTCTTTGCATGTTCTTAATTAAATAATGCTGTATGAATATTGAATACTATAGGAATATGTATCTAACTCTATATTATATATGTACAAAAATAAGTCAGAATACAATGGCTGCATAGGTCCAATGCAAATGCGATGAACTTTATTACTTGTGAATAATTACAACTACAATGGCAAGAAATTTGTGTTTTCGCTTGTTTTTCAACAAAAGAGCTTACATTCAAAGAAGCAAGCAGTTCCAAATATTTTGCATATTGAATGAAATGATTAGATGTTTCTATAAATAACCATCCATAAGAAGCTTGCTCTAGCTAATATGCTTCATTGTGCATGACGAGTCTTCTTAAAAAAGATTTATGGAGTCCAATACCAAAACTGGACTACGGAACTTTCCGTTCTCAATAACCCATAACTCACAACTCCAACCTACTTTATCTTACAACACATAAATGCACCAGGTTTCTGTTTCAATACACAGTGAGTACAGATACATACTACATGTATGTGAAATGAATACTGTTTTGGTAGTAAAGGCATGAAATGTTCCTGTAAAAGAATATGCCATAATTATGTGCTGAGTATATTACTTATTGTAATTAGGCAGTGACTTATCTTTACGATCAAGTCAAAGACTGTATAAAAATGAGTTGCAGGTAAGTTCTGAGTTTAAATGATCAATGCTATGAACCAGGAATAAAGTTGTTCTGTTATAACTGCTAAATGCTTTCTTCTAATTGTTATTTTACAGCTAGTTTATATCTCTTCTCACTAACATTTGTATTTATGATGAAAAAATCAAACAGAAAATTTCCAACGTAAATGAACATTGTGAAGTATAAGATGGGCACATGGTAAAACTACTCTATACAGGCTGTACATAGTTGGATGGGAGCATGCCCTTCTGGCCAGTTCTCTCGATCGTTCCTGTCATCCATCCCTCGTCGATGTGTTGCCAATTGACGACAAGGTCACCCTCTTTGAACGAGACCTCATCTTGGTCCGCAGCCAGGTAGTCGTAGATAGCACGGTATTTATTGGGCTGGCCAGCGGAAGGCGGCATTTGTTGCTGCTGCATCTGTGGCTGTTACATCAAAAGAATAAGAAAAAATAAGATGAGGTACAATTCCATATATGCAGTATGTATCATCAATAACAATATTAACAATAAGGTAGCTTATTAAGTAGTCAAATGGCACAAAAATATGTACCCAGGGTGCATTTAGAATGATACATGTAGTTAGTCATGAACATGAACTAAAAGTTTATTGATAAACCGGTATATCTGAATGTCACTTTAGGTAATATTATGCCTAAATCAGGGAGTACATGTTTTGACCAGCTCCATATTAAACCTAATGATGTTGATCTACCTCTATGTGATCAAATTATGTTCATTTCAACAATAATGCATTTTGGATTCCGGAAATACCTTTCCACATGTGCCACTATATACTGTATTTCACTAAACTACCTACACGAGCATGGTAAAGACTAGAACGTGTCTTTAAGTGAAGGATGTGAGTACTTACCTTTTGACCGGGATCAAACAAGGATCCAACTGACTGCTTGCTGGCTGGAGGTCCAGAGTATGCTGAATCAAAGAAAGGAAACACCTCTGCAAATTACTTATATGTACCTTATAATGTCTATAGATATGTCAGGATATAGCAAATGCATACAAAAAGCAAAAATAGAAATACATGTTAAACAGATGATATCAAACATATATTATCATTGATAACTTCACTGCATACAATGAACAATTCTAAGGATACTGTAAATATAATTTATAAAAAAAATGACAGTACGGAAACAACCTTGAAAATACTACATACATAAAATGTAAAGTAAAATACCAATGAGGAATATTAAAGACTCACACACAATTTACCATGTACTACTACATAATGACACAATATTTTACATATGATCTCTTTTGATTGTCATCTTTTTCATCTGAGGTTTAGAATAAGTAACATTCTTGTATAAATTATAAAAGTTGGAGTACTATTGCATATGCACACATGTAGGTAACTGGACAAAAAAATAGTTCTACATATGTAATAGACAACTATGAATTCTAGACAAACCACAAGTATTTTTACTAAGCAGTACCTGTCACTCGTTATATGAAATCGTGTACATACATGCATGTACTACATGTATGTTTAGTATTGTGGCATTTGATTTATCACATTTAATTATCTTAGTCTGTGCAGACATACTAAAGCATTTCATCTTTCACTCGTTAGAGTGTACTGCAATAATGAACAGTAAGCCAAATTTGGACACTATAAACAGAGGCTAAGGGAACAAAGCACAATAAAATACAAGGCTCTGATTGGCTGCTGGTAATAACACAAAATGAGTTGAAATACCAGCCGTTTCATTATGATGAGACTGAGAGCAAGATGAAAAGCTTATAGCATGTCTACATTGACCACTATTCTCAAATTTTGTACTTAGTTCCAATTATCTCTTTAGTTATCTTAATCTTTGTTTGTTTTTCAGAACTGTGTTGTGAAACCATTCTACCATTTTTCAAATATTTATTGTACATTAGAGCTCAATTTTCATCCTATGGAAAATGGAAATTTATTTTCAGCTCCCACAACACCAAAGAAGCAGAACAGTACCACAGGTCTCAATCTCATATCAGGATAACATAAAGAGTGCCCTCTATTGCTGGTATAAATGTAGAGCTCATATCCTCTGTTCCATTGACTCAAGCATGTATCCTTCCGGGCTGGAAATTAGCTACTATTTCAGGAGTACCAGCTAGTGCCAATACAGCCATACACTGAGCCAGTAATGTGCCTTAATTTGTTTTTGACATCATATTTACAGACAGCGTGTACCAACGTCACTTACATGTACATGTGTACTGTACACTGTAGTAATGTCCATACATATAGATATGCATGAGTATACTGACATACACTTCTTGTACAGTGGAAGCATAGGATTTTCAAGTAATGTGAAATTCTTTGACACTTTTGAGTGCTTTATACTTAGCTTCTGTCCAAATTCAAAACTTGTCTATGGATCATTCCATAAAGATACAGTAGAACTTTGCTTATATTTTCCAGTTGAAATGACAATTGCATTATGAATAATATTATTTGACACAAATTAAAGTCTAAAATGAGAGCTATTTGTAAAGTTGGTAACAATTAATGTTCAGGATAAGAACAGCTGAGTTTTATCACCCATAATCACCCCCCCCCCCCCCTTGGTGGAGGGGTGGGTTTATTCCTTATTTCGACTTTTTGAAGGAGACTGTGTATGAAACATTCCAATTCAATCCTACAAACCATAATCTGTAAGCTACATTTATGCTAAAAAGATCAGAGTACAAAACAAGAAACAGTATTGAATTAAAAAAAACAAAAGGATGTGAATTGTTATCAGAGTATAAACATACAAGGTCAAAAGGTCCTACGTATTTTCCTTTTCTTAAAAGCTCTCAAAGCCAAGAACATAAACAGGAATCTTCTGAGGAAATGTCACGCCCCAACAATGTCATCAAACTCTTGCAAGAAGCCGAGTTATTACTTGCACAATGAATGTAGCATGTATTATGGGCTTCATCCAGGCCACAGAGTAGAGTCAGGACTTTGAGAATACATGAAGCTAGGCACTGATGACTAACTCAGTAGACAGACAGAGAGGAAATGCTTCTAGTTAACGGCTTACATGTAGTATGAGAAACCCCAGTCTCAACATAGTATACAAGTACAGTCTACAAGATTGCATTACTTCATTACTAACTTGATATACAATTGCTATGAACATTAGCTGAACATTACATAGGTGCTACATGTACATTCAATATGAGCAAAAACTATGAGTAAAACTACTATTCCCATTATATGATGGAAAGGCTTACATGCAGCATTAAAAATTTGCAATGTACATGTAGCAAAAGACCAAAGTAACTGAATTAAATCATTGCTTTTAGCCTGTCTCGAGTCTGCACCACGCAGGCATTGCCACAGGAGAAGGAGGAGGATTAAATGTCACCCGTTTGAACCCTAGGAGTGCACCCCCTCATGAATATGCATCACCACTTTCCATACACTGGCAGCATGAGTGTGTTCCTGTTAGGAGAGCATCAGGAGTGACCCACTCAATCACTGTCAAGTGTATCAGTATTTCACCTATAAACAAACACCTGGTGACTGGGAAATCTGTGTTATTATGGATCTACAGATGAGCATCATACAAACCAAAACATAGAAATAAGCATATGAAATTCCATAGGATGGATAGAGGGTTAAACACTACATGTACACTCCTCCTGATTTTGCCAACAGACTTGTAATCATCATGTACTGTGTACACACTCTTCTTTCCAAATGTGCTTGTAGTAAGTAAAACCATGAACCTAATACAAACTGTATTGGCAATGCAGGATGCATCCTCTTTTTCAAAATAGCACATTTGACACTTTAGATATTAAAACAAAATATGAAGTCATCAATTTACTTCATGGACGATTCGTCAAAAGGGCTCGCTGGAATTTGTATAACAAAGTTATTTGTATGCTCTTTTTCTATCATTATTCCTCTGTGCATGATCAGAGATCTACAAACAAAATATCATTTGGTGCCACGACAAAGAATGGATGATTGGACTCAAATTCACTTTTCATAACTTGGGGGGGGGGGGGGGAAGAAAGACTCAGAAAGATGGAAAGAGAGAAAAAAAGCATTAAAAAAGAAGAAGGAAATGCTAAGCCAGGATATCCCAAGATCAATTACTGATCCTGTGTGTTAACCTAGAGATTTAACAGCTTTTACAAATTTCCTTCCCACTTCAAAATATCCCTAAAACATGTCCACAGAAAGCTACATTTCACTGACAAGTTTCACTACTACAATTACATGTCCATGTACATGTACCTTCTTCTGGTCTATTTTAAGAAAACTGTTCATACCATTTTAATGTTCCAAAATACATGAAAAGCTACATGTATAAAATGAAGAGCATTAGATAAATCTGTTCCAACTTTGATAAACTTCTGTGCATGGTAATTTTAGATTTTAAAATAAAATATAGCAATATGAATATGCCAATGATCTCTGTGCACACTTTGTTCATTATGTTGGAATTATCAACTGATAGTCAATATTAGTACAACATTGCACTACCATGCCTTTCCCCTTCAAAGTTACAGCATTCAAATCAGAAACTAATGAACTGCAGGATTTGAGTCATAATCTCTGCAAAATAAATATGAATTTATGCCCTAAAGAAACCAAAAGCAAAACCAATGACCAATCAATCATGAGAAAACAATACAAAGCAGTACATTGTAGACTAATTAAGTGCCTTTGGTTTCTACTCTGCTTTGAATGTACTTAAGTTGGTATGCAATTAGATTTAACAAAGTATGAAGATTAACTGCTTGAGTATGAAGATTAACTGCTTGAGTATGAAGTCGTTTTGCTTACTTCTGCTGTTGCATTTTACAATAGAGTTTATAGTACATTACAAAAATATGAACTGAAATGTGTTACAAGTACTTCTCCCATTTCTAATAACAGATCTTGCAAATAATAGGGAAAATCTGAAGAAAATTTGAAAGAATTTTTTTAAATCGGATTTGACAGTTCAAAATATTTATGCTCATTCTTCAGTAGAAGAAAATTGTCTTGGAAAGGAAGTTAAATGCATATGTAAAATGACTTGGTCAAGTTTAGTCCTGGTGATTATCTGGACTGATGACACCCCACAACCACAAATCACTTCTTGTTAAGCCCGGAATCAAACCAGAGGTATCTAGTGGACGATGACAGTGACATGCAGTGATGATTTAATTCATGATATGTTAGGCATCCGTCCAGCAATGGCGGAAGCACTGTGTTTTATCACTGTATGGGAATGCATACACACTGTGCATGAGAGTGTGTATGTGTTGACACAGTGTGTTGGTTTTTTTCTTCTTCTCTTTCACTTGCCTGGGAAAATTACCTCAACTTGGGGGTGTTGCTATGGAAACCCAAGATATCCACTATGATTACGTTCATAGTATGCTTGTTATCTGTATAAAATTTGTTTTGTCCTGCCTGATGCCTCGAATTGTTGATGCGAAAACATTATTCTGCCTGATAGTTTATAAATGTCCATATAAATATCTATGAAAAACCTTATCAGTGTGCTAAAATGCCAAAGATGAGTCTGTGCCATAAACATACACTTATAGAAGCATAGAGCAACTTACATACATATATATATATATATATATATATATATATATATATATACATTAGCTCTGGTAACCTAAAAATAAAATGTTTCTGAAAAAGGAAATACACAAACATATTTTTTTTAAATCTCTGGGAAATTCTCTTTTTTTTGCCAAAGTCCAAAGAAAGTCCACAGGAAAAATAACTTCATTAACAAAACTTCCTAAAGAATGTTGGATGAAAAATCCAATCTAAGGGAAATTATCACTATATTACAGTGAAACTTCTATTTCTCAAAGTAACTAACATTTTCTAGAACATCCTGTTCATAATTTCTATACATAAATTCCATGAACTTTATACATACCAGTATTTGTTTGTATTGCACAGTGATTTATATTCTAAGGAGTTCTAAACATTAGCCCTGAATTGTCAGTCTTAATATCATAAAAATGTAAGTGATAGAACCTACACATTCAAGTACTACGTGTACTACGTGTAGCTCTCAGTTTCTCATACATTAACATTGGCTTATATGAACAGAAGCACAATAAATCAGTAGCTATTAAATCCACCTCTTCTCATAAACTGCACCATAATTCACCATTGCATTGGTCTTTAATCAAATAAAATAATGTGAATTTCAGAATAAAGTAGGATTATAATCACAAATTGTGAAATAAATAAAAAAGCAATCAAAACTATGCCTCAACACTACATGTATATGATTAAGTTAATTACTAATAAAAACTCTTGTATTAATCTTGACTGTAGAGAGGTGTGGGTAATGTTGCTATGTTCACAGATTACATGCTAGAGTCTTTGTCATTGGGCTACATCATCTCCTACATAAAAGAGTGAATGTGTGATTGTACACTCCATAGAGAGAAGGATGCACAGGGATAGGGGAGGTATATCCCTTGTAATCAAGCCAGTCTCTCCCGAGTTTCATTCCACAAATTCCCGACATTGCCAAGGCGGGGGATGCAAGCGTTTGGGGATGCAATGTAGCCACTTTATTGGTAGATGCAGCATTCATCCCATACACACTGATAAAATATTATATCTTCCACCCGTTATATCCCCATGAGTGATTTCCCATGATGATGTCTGGGAAAGTTGGGGATTTAGATTGCTGGGATAATGTCTTTTTATCCGATGCTTTTTATTCGAGCAAAGTCAAAATATATCTCATTTAACTGAGGATACTTTATCTCTGTGTATTCTGAATTCATCTTTAAAGTTAATCAATTTATTGGAAAATTACAAGCACTGCAGCAAAACGAATGATATAAAGAGACTTTTGGCAAAATATATTTTCAAATCCATAGTTTATAAATATAAAGATCTGAAATCTTCCTTTCTTGTTGTCTGCTCCTTGATACAAAATGTTTTTGCAATGATGAAACAAGATGGGTGTCTCAAATTGTCTATGACATTTAAAAAGCCTAAACTAGTAGGTCATCCGCTGCCTGCATTAGGCAAGGTAGGATAGAGAATTAACTTTATCTTCATTATAGTGGCGTGTTGGATGAAGTTTGATGTTCCTATCCCTGACTAACTGGCGTATATTCTAGCTCAGCAGTAAGCAGCTTGCTACCGATGACAGATCACATAGCCTAATGTACATTCATGAGTGAGCCGGCCATGCCAGGCCAGGCATTATGAATTGGATCTGCATACATGCAGGCTGATACTACTAGTGCCTAGTGGTAGAGATCAAAGATATTCTAGACAGGTGAACCCATCAGAGTCAATGCCATACCTATGACGGATAGGTCAATGTTCCTTACAAATTATGCACATGTATAACAGACATCCTAGATCTGGTCTTTAGTCACTACCTACAGTGGGCCTGTCAATGAAAACCCAGGGCATCACTCAATCTTTTAAAAAGGGGAGAGAGGAATTCTGATCAAATTTATTTTAAAGGTAGTCAAAAACAGGAAAAAAACAAAATACAAAACAAAGGAAAACAAAAAGAGACATCAGCTTGGGGACTTTGCAGACAAAGTTTGAGAAATTACAAACTAATACTCACAGCTACTTTGAATGGGAGCTTTCATAACCCCCAAGCCCATGCTTTGGAAAAAGAGAAAAAAGTAAAAAGGACTCCCTCTAAGAAAATCTTATTTTTCCCAATGACAACCTTTCCTTTACAATGAAGGCACAAACCTGTAGACTGTACTACTTGTTTTCTTCTAAACATTTTACAAATCAAGTTAATACAAATCACAAATTAAAAATACATGTAAAAGTACAAGATATGTGCTTATCTTATGACGTTGATGTTTTTTCCAATATGTTTTCATCACAAATGTTCAATCACCCATATCATATATAATGTACATTACAAAACTTCATCAATCAGAACATTTATGTACAATGGCAGTAAAGCATCATCAATAAAGCAGCACAGATCAGCTTCAAATAATGGTGGTCTTCTCACAGTACCATTGCTTACCACATCACATAATTTACTTAATGACAATCATATCATTAGCATGCATACATAAACTCAATTGATTTCCCTGTATTTAACTAGACACTGCAATCGCTTAGACTGTTCATGCTGGGTCATTACTGTACTGAGTCAATAGGAAATAAAAGACTAGATACATGGTGGCTATGCATAACAAAGACACATTTGCAGACCACTGATACATTAAATACATACATGTATGGTATGTAGGTGGATGAGGTGGTGTCAGATGAACTTTTGATATTACCCTGAACATAGAACAGAAAAGCTCTTATGTATGTACATGTACGCCTACATGTATACATACTATTTCAATACTGATTTTTTGAAACTTAAAAATAGGTAATAAGTTATTACCTATTTTTTTAGAATCAAGTTTATTTTCTGTAATCATATTTAGTCTCAGATGCAGCACCAACAGTTGAGCATGAGTACACAAGATGTTTATTTCCTCCACAATTTTAGTAACCAAAGCTCTGTTATCAAAGTAATAAAATATGATCCACTTCAGAGTCAAGTGTAGTAGTAGAAACCTGTCTATTTTATATACCCGTACATGTAGGTTTCTTTTCCCAATGTAGCATTCATATTGCTACTCCATTTTTGTTCACATCTTCATGTACACAAGAACAAAAATACCACCACCATTTATAGGGATGCTAATTATCACAATCTCTGTCTAAACATAAACTAGAATCACCTAACGAATGTTAAATCAAGCATAATCAAGCATTACAGGAGCTTGCAATTAAAGCCACATATCATAAACTATCACAGAGCACAACTTAAATTTCAATCCAAATTCTAGGGGCTACATGATTATGGTAGGTAAAGGATATCAAAAATGCAAACAATTCCATATATTTCTGTGAGCTGCTGGGGTGATGGTTAGAAACCTGCAAGCCACAAAGATGAGGACAGGGTCATTCTAATTACTACATTTCTAATCTACTTCATCATCATCTTACTCCATTCCAATCTGGTCTGATATGACCTCTGCGTTAATCCTTGGGGGCAAAGAGAAAAGTCAGAGCAGGCAAAAATTGTAATGTCAAAGTTAAAATGTCTGGAGCTGTTTACACAACAGGGCATACTGTTGCATGCCATTTCTCAATGCATTCAATACATCTCAGAATTCTAGCAGAAAGAAATAGAAATGAATAGCATGCATCATGAAGTATGCAAGGAATCATGAAAGGACTTTGCTATGCATTAAAAATATCCCTGAATGATACAATGGAATCCATAAAGCCAATCAGTATTTTTGTACATGTACATGTATCTAATATCTACGCAAATTATTCTTTACATTTATATTGGTGTACGGATGTACATGTACCATCTGTCGAAAATTAGAGAGGCATTAAATCTGTTGTAATTACATACAAGTTATAATGCTGTTGCTGTTACATGTACATGTAGAGTCTATAGGCCTATAAATAATATGCAGTAAAAATTATAGAGTTTATGGATGATCTTTGTTGCTCGTAAATACACATACCAGCATAATTCTACAAATTATATAAAGCATTTGCATCTGAGTGCACTAAAGTTTGGCATAATAAACATGTATTATACAGGCATAGGCCACTTGGTAAATGACAAAAAACAATATTGCATTTCATTGCTCACAAAAAAATTGTTTGAATACTATCATACCTTTGTACTCCATAATAGACAAATCAATAACTTTGAATTATTACACATTACATGGCAGTAATGTGAACTCTATCATAATGATGGTGTTTTCATAATGAGCAAAGACACTTCTATACATGTACATATAGTATGCACGGCATTATAAGATCATCATCATCATAAAATAATGACTGAAAAGGGGGAAAACATTACTAATTACAAACAGGATATACAATGGGATAAACTAAAACAAAGAGGGGGAAATACCATAGAATTTGCAGAGCCTTGCAGAAATATTGTAGGAATAGACAAAGAAATTGATTTGGGTTGGGCATGTTTGATAACAAATACATGTACATGATGTACCATAACTCAAAGTGCAAGGAGAAACATTTACCTCATCATAGGATTGAAACAAAGTTTTAAGTCTATATATTTCCAGGATTAGCTCATAACTGTTGGTCTGAGGATTTACATGGGTACTTTGATACTTCATGTATACTGAACCACAGGTAGATTGCTATTGATTTTAGAGATGATTGGAATGCGTATCTAGATTATATCCTTTCTGGTTCAAAGCACACAGCTACCACACCAATCAAGGTTGACACTGTGTAAATATTGTGAAAGGTTGAAATAACCTAGCGAGCGAGCGAGGAGTTTATGATTTATTGCATAAATCTAGGGTATGCACAAAGAATTAATAATGCTACCCTGGTTTGATGATCTGGCTTCAAATTTAGAACATTCTGTATCATGTTAGGCCTTTTATTTGCAATAAAAATCATGTTGCATAGGATATAATCCATAAAATAAAATATAACAAAATTTGGGACAAAATATAGGCCTAATGTTTATGATGAAAACAACAGTATTGGTACAAAAAGCATCATAAGACTTGCCCAGACTGACAGATTACAGTACATGTAACAAATACATTTACTGTTACACATATACTGTACACCTTAATTTATAAATAAATCAATATGAAATTGCACTATAAAATGGTGATTAATGTTCATTGTAATACCATTGACAAAACAGGTCAGACTTTACTTTTTTTGTTCAAAGTAGTCCTAAAAATGTAGGGTACAGTTTATATCAATTTGTTTCTCTCTGTTTTTGCATAATTGCTTAGAAAATAGTACGGTAATCAAAAGAACACTGACGCATCATAACGCTGAAACTTCCGAATACACTACAGTGTATTATCATAGTGCTGTATCCAATAGCCTGTTACTGACATCAAATGATGACCTCATCCTAATAAATTCCTTATCAAAATTTAATTTCAGGGCAGGGTAACAAGTGATTTATTAGGAGGGGAAATCCTACAGGCTCTTATTTGAAAAGTGCAGGTAGGCCAACATCATTCTAATGATCAACACTAACAGAGGATTAGTTCATAGACCTGTGCCCTCCTAAAGATTCATAAACACAAGTTTCCACTGAAATTTAATTGAACACTGATACACACATGTGCACTGCCTTTCAAGCAGATGCCCTCTTATTACGAGGTGATTAAAGAGATGTCATGACAGAACGATCTGCCAGTGAATTTGAGTCATACATATGAAATTAATTACAAACACACCTCAAATTGATTTATTTGATTAAATATTTTACTATTTACAATCCATAGGAGAGGGGTATCTATAAAACTCTTTAGGCCAAATGGTTGCAAAGTCGATCACAGTTTTGCATTGAAAAATTATAAAATAACTGTTCTTAACCATTCAGATTCAGCCTAAACAAGCTTCATGTAAACAGTATGGTGTATTTTAAACAATTCACTTGCTTTCTATCCCTAAACAGTCTCTCCAAAGGATTTTTGACTCAACAAAATAACAATTGAAAAGGAAAATCAGGTATCTAGGATATTACTGCAGTATGGTCAAGAAATCTTAGACATAATAGTATTCATAATATGTATTACGTACATTTTGTAAAAGTATATTATCGGAATGGTGAATACCTTATTCATTTGTTAGCATGGAAGACATCTCTATGGGTACATGTACGTGTAAGAACTTTGTTGTATGTCAACATAAAAAAGACTGTATCACAATGATTGTCATCATTTCATTTTTGTACTATGTTAACATTTCAATCCATTCAAACTTAATTACACATAGCAATCTACTCAACCATGTATTATCACAACTCAGATTACTACCTACTTGCTACTCCTCTGAATGTAGTTCAAGGTTAAATTGTATCGATCTTCTCTCTCTCTCTCTCTCTAGCATTCTACCGTGCCCCCCCCCCCCCCCATCAGCTGTCAGACATGTTGATGTTTTCTTACTGTCTGTAATCTTGTTTAGCTCTCTTTTTAGCTCCCTTTTTGCATGTATATCCAATTATTCAACATGTTTTCAAGCCAAATGCGTTTCTCCTTCCAAGTAAATTCAATAAACAGACTTTAATTTGCACCAATGATGATGTTGTTGTTGTAGAATGTACTACATGTAGATGTAAGCCCTATATACCACATTTCTCTATATGTACAGAATGTAGAGCTGGTTTAGTGCAACATGTCTTTCCACCGAATGTTTAGATGTGTCAATCAATATTCCCAATATTCCTTTTAATAAAACATAGGAACACTCTCTCTCTTTCTATTCCTCTTATTGCTAGTTTAGCTACTCCCAAACACTTTCCCTCACACAAACATAATATTTGCATCCAGGCTGGTCAATTGTGTTTAAGGGGTTCTCACAATATTTTGTTGTAGTAGTTGTGTGCTGAAACAAGATATATTCTGTGGGTGGTGTAACAATAGGTGCATGTATTAGGTAGCCAATCATTCAGCAGTGCTTTCAGCTAAATAAAGGGTTGGGTATGAGGGCACTGAGCCCTGGGTCACAGCAGTAGTAGGTTCTACCAGTACAGTACCCCCATCATGTAGCATCTCATCTTTGCAAACTCCATCAAGAAATTCACAATTCATTCAGTTATTGTTCATTGTCATTCCAAAACTTGTGGGGTTTGATGTGGATTTTTAATAATTTTATCATTAAGGAAGTATTAATCTCTTTTCACATGTAAAACTTCCATTGGCATACAAACGATTTTGGACACACTTTTGTTTTGTGTGTTCGAAATGTGGGTTGTAAAATTATCTTTAAATTTCAAATCATAAAAAGAGGAAAATTAATGGCAGGTGAATCCTTTGGAATGTATATGATCTAGTTAGTTATTGTAATGTCTTTCCACCATATAATTTACACCATGGTTTTTGTTTTTGTTTAACCTGAAATCATCATGAAAATATTTCATAATAGACATTATTTAACATTACAGTTACTCATAATGCAAATGTTCAATTTTAATCAGTGGAATATAAATCATCTTTTCTTTCACCAGAATAGTTTTTTAAAAAATGAAAATCTAAATATCTTAAGACAAGATACCATTTAAAAGTAAAGAAGAATGGCACCATTTAGGATCCCTTTGTTTTTAGTATACACATACATGTAGATGTAGCATTTGAATAAATTTCATAGAAGACAATTAATAAAGTGTGTGATATCGAGTGAAGTATTTAGAAAACTTCCAAAAATGAAGAATTTACAAGACTCATGGAGGTGCTGCTAGAAGGGTTGGTTGGCTTGACACTAAAGCTCTTTTAGGATTTGGTATTGTGTAAGTGCTCTTTAAAAAAAAAAACAGATCTCATTTTTCCATTTACCAGAGCACTTTCGAAGCTTTTGAGAACTACATGAATACATGTATTGCTCACTGCTCCCATTTTCATTATTTTTTGCTGCATACAAATAAGAAAAGATCTTTTAATACATGAATTCTTTCATTTACCACAGGCTTCATACACAGACCACTAGTTCACGTTGGCAATGGGTTATTGAATAAACTCATCCATCATGATAATGGAATTCACTCCAAAAAATCTAATGGGGGAGTATACATGTACTTTATTTATTTATAGGCCTACATTGTCACAAGGGATGAATCATATAAATAATTTTATTAGTTTAGATTTAAAGTTTAGATTCATTAAACAGAGTAGCACTTTGAACAGGATAATAGATGAACACAAATATTGGCTATCCAAATACTCTGATACAAGCATTTGAAGGGAATTTCCCTATGTCCATAGCCTATTTATATGAAGTAAGTTCCTCTTTTTGTAAGAGGCTATTTGTTGCTATGATTATGTACAATAGAACGCAGCATATAGTTTCATTTTTCATACACATACATGTGTAGGCATAAACCATAGGAGAAACTACATGTATCAAATCATTTTTTTTTATTAAACCAAACAAATAGGGTACAAAACATGCATGCACACTGAGTGGTGCCCACTTTCTTTCCCCTCTGAAACTCAGGACAAGCTAAAATGGAACAAATGAGCCTATCTCCCTCCCTATAATACACACATCAATCATGGTTATTCTGATGGAGGCATGCGATATAAGATCCTTTCCTCTCACAATCTATTACCTGGTATCCTTAACATAAATCATACTACATGTACATTGTCACAATTGATTGCCAAGTGTCTTTCTTCCTTGTTTTACAAGGAACTGGTAAGAATGAAAAACAAACAATTCCGGCTCTTGATATCATACTTTAAAATGAATCAATATTTGTTGTGTACCGGTATTATTGGAATCTGATTCATAGAATAATAAAAGAACAAATCAAATAATAAATATGTTTCTAGTTATCAGAAAACAAAGTTTAAAGTTTTTAAACAGAGAATGGTAAGTAGCCATCTTGGTTTTTGTTCTGCGTAAAGGGCAAAAAAAAAGGTGGAACCCAGCCTAATCCCATTTCTCTTTATTATCCATGTGCAAAATATCTGACTACCCGGTAGTAATAAATAGATACATCTCAGATTACCTAATTACCCATTCCCTAAATTCATAAATATCATATTGTTAATTATATATTTTGCAATCACAAAGTTTTCACTTGCCAACTTATAGTTGTACGCACTGTCATTTTGCAGTACATGGATAAGGGAGAAAAAAGGTTACAGGCACAGGTACACGCCCATTTGTAAATATGGCTGAAAATAAGGAGTAGAATTTCTGTGGGCTGATGATAACCGCTTGAGGCCATGACATTGGGGTGCTCCATGACAAAAACAACACAAGGAAGTTACTTGATTTCAAACATGACTCTGACAAGTTGAATACAGTATCAGTGGGAGGAGATAAAAGATGTCAGATATCATATATTTCCAAATTATCAAAACAATTCAATGTAATTCCATCAAGTATAGATACAGTACCAGAAAATTGCTGTAAAATGGGATAAGATTCTTTTGAAATGCTGAGTGAGCACATGGCACTGGCAGAGAAAAGGTGATACTTTTTTGTGTAAATAAGATTTTCAATTGCACAATTAAAGAAAAAGTATTTACTGTACATTACGAAGCAATGTGCATGCCTAAAGTAATAATAATAATATTACCTGAGATTTATATCGCACCATTATCCATTCTAATCAAATGCTCAAGGCGCATTCACTTCTTTATCTAAATTTAAATCAGTTGTCCCAATACATCTACATGTCTCTAAACAGTAGACACTTGTGTCAACAGTAAACCTGATTAGATTTCAGATATTTCATATCTGTGGGCATTTACAAGTTAATCAAGCTACACATTTACGCAATCATATATCAGGCCTATTAGCTATTAATGGGTGAGGTTTCCTAAACAAGTCGAGAATGACTGCAGAACTGCCATAAAACCCATGTACCCCAAAAATGTACATGTATGTAGAGTCGTAGACCCATCATTTGCATGGAAGAATGCTATGCATAGTGGAGCTTTAGACCTGATATGCTTTTTATCAAACTAGATGAGAAACAATGGCCAACTCATATAATAACCTTATTTTCTCCCCAATCACTCATTCTAGCCCACATAGTGTTCTAAATACCACACCAATCTGTGGATGAAACAGACAGTACATAGATATGTACATGTAGGTGTATGGTGTCCTTTGTATACACATACATCTTCTGAATAGTCAAAGTGATACTTAGTGTATGTACAACCTCTTTGCAATGTGCAAAGTAAATATAAAGCTTCCGATGACTTATCTCTCTGACAGGCCTAAACAAACCCCACCCAGCCCAGTCAGATATTGAATGGTTGAGGCATAAATATTTAAGTAATTTACATATTTGGTATATGTAGTAAGCATGCAATGTAGATTTATTCTTTCCTTTTTTGTTGCCCCATTAATATAGCACCAAATTTGCAGATTAAGATAAAATGTTACATCACAAAGATTTTAATACTGTTTGTATAACATTGAGTTTAAAAATCAAAGGAACAGGGTGGGAAGTTGAATATTTGTTAAAAGCATTTTTTTTTCTTTCAGGAACAAGTATCAACCCTCCTTCTCCCTCCATAAATGTTACACACACTGGAAAAGATTGATTGTTCCTGTAATTAAAGGCATTAAACCCTGACCTATCAGCTACTGCTAAGTGTGGTGCCATAAAATGACCATTTACTTGCATTTAACCTTTCTATTTACTTTAAATAAATCATAGACTCTAATATCTACACTACATGCATAAGTCATAAACATGATTAAGAATGGGAATCACTCATGAATATAGAAGGGGTTCTTTTGAAAATATATATTAGAACGTTTGATGGGTAGTGTCCACTTTTTTCAACCAAGGGGTAAATATTTAAAACCCAATACAAAATTATTGCCAAACCAGTTTACAAAGAGAGTAATACTTCATGACAATATAAAGTACAAGATCTAATGTACATAAGAATTAACATTTACAATAGAAGGTATGACATGGAGACAAACACTAAAAACAAAAGTACAAATGTAGATGAACATTCAACAAATACAAAAGTAAATAGCAAAGAAAAGGGGGATGGGTACAGAGGCAGAAAGGGGGTATTACTTAATATTTGAAGCTTAAAAATGTTCTCATTCCAAACTTACGTGTGAAGCTAAATCCTGTGACTGCATGAATGTGCAATTTAGTAAATAGATAGAAAATAGATAGAAACATGTAAAAGCAACAAATATTAAACATTAAGTGATCAAGAAAATAAAGACAGTGATTGCAGAGTACTGACAGATCTGATCAATCCATACATTATCGACTTTTTTCTAGACAGTTCAGACATTGTTAATGATTTTAGCAGTTGAATTATCAAAGTAAAGCAGAACACGATGCAGTATATATTATGAAAAGCAGAGAAATATGATAAAAGTATGTCAAAGTAGGTTTGCATATGAATAGACATAGAATGTCCAGATATATAAGTGAGACAAGAAATAAAGACTCAACAGAAGGTACATTGTAGACCCATTGGAATGGTACAAGGCAAGTGCCCCTCCCCACTCCCACCTGAGGGAAGGAAACTTTGACCTTGTCTGATAGTACTGTCACTGTGTGAGTCATACACTGTATATTGGGAACAGGCGTTGTGAAGAAGGGAAATTCATTCATAAACTAGTTATGATGGACCTCCGGGATAAACAAGTAAACAGGCAGCATTCATTAAATTATATTGCCTATGTGTACACTGTACATAATTATACACTGTACATACTGTACATGTATGCACGTGCCATGCATGGAATTCTGCATACCGGTCATTGTATGGGTGAATACTTATAATTGTTATGGTTATAATGTCTGTTGGGAGCCAGAAGGATGTTTTACGATGTTAATGCCCTCCTGGCTCCAATTAAACATCGTTATCTAGAGTACGGTATGTCATCATTAAAATACTTTGTGAATTCCCCTTTGTAAAAATGTAACACCATATGTGTGGGTATGTGTGAGAGTGTGTGCGTACGCTGTTGTTTTTATTTGTTTGTATTTTTTAAGCTGTTTCTCTAATATTGGTTTTTATTTGTTTGTATTTTTTAAGCTGTTTCTCTAATAACTTATATTCAAAATTTTCAGGGTTTTGAATGACATAATAATGTAAGAGTAGGGGTTAAATGGTTTTAGAAGTTTTAGTGATGAAGTCCATTGCATTTATTTTATACAATGTTTTTTATCTGCCGAATTCCTGATAGGATAGAAGTATGCCAACTGCCAAGCTGTGAGAAAGTATACCGGTACCGGGTAGTGGAAATTATGTATCTGCGAAGGGACTGGCAAAAGTTACTATTTTTTCTGAGGAGCGAAATTTCCACTGTACTTTCGAAATAAATGCTTGGTATATTTGTTTTATATCTCTTCTGATACAACTAATTCCAAAAAAAGAAACCATTAGCTACCAGCTGATCTGGATCGATATTAATAAAAAATATCTTGATTCTGTAATACCTGATTCAAATTGATGAACAGGATCATAATCATCAGGCGATGTTGGTGGTTGATAATGGTGGGTGACAGGCAACTGGGCGGGATCAGGCACACTTTCAATGTCATTTTGCCTCACATGAATGTTCCCCTTGCGAACTATTTCCGTTGCCACACCCATCGTACAAATACAGCATGAGGGTCCCAAGGGGGTGAAAGGAAAGGTGGTCACAATCAAGGGTTGATGATATACCAAGGTTGAGGGTTCCATACCCGCGATGAGATGTTAGAGCACAGGCAGGTGGAGTGAGAGCATATGAGAGGCAGCATGATGAAGCAAGATGGACTGTCGTCATGCAAGCATGCAAATGAATAGGATGTTACTAGAGTTAAATACACGTGTATGTGTACAAAATGCTACATCGTACTGTATCATTTCACTGTTACAAATATTTATACCCTCCATGCAACTATTTCCAATTCCAATAATACTTAACATTAGCCTTTTTTCTTCTTCAAAATACACTGTGCAGTTAAATACCTTATTTTTCATATAATTTTACTAAAGCCTACATGAAATTGGATACCGGTATTCTAAAACCCTTTTTCCCCCCATTCGTGTACTATTTGTTGGCATCTCATTGCGGCAAAATGTCTTTATGAACTAAAAGATTCTATTAGATCAAATGCAATGTGCCATGATCAAAATTTGCTATCTGCATTGAGCATGAAGAGGCTGTATGTATACAGACTTGTCATTGGAATTACTATGAGCCTGACATATTAATCCTTTGAGCTGTCATATCGACAGCGCTACTTTGACCTGCTGTAATTGATGAAAACAGGTGGTCATAACATACAAGTGCTGATTAAGAAACGGTGATGACTTTGCCACATTATCAATGTCCAAATTAGTGCCAACTGCTTCAGCCACATTGCTTAGAGCAAGCCTTAATTAACTTCTTTTTAAGTATAACAATTAATTAGTAAGGGCAATACATGTACAACCTACATGTCTGTATATGTTCAGCTTACAGTTTGCATCTATAATCTTCTTGCTTACACACATGTACATGTATTCTTAATCATTCATGATATTAACGCAACATGGAATTATTTTTCAATGATCATAATAAAATGGAAATGTGTTTTGATTTCAAGCATTTTAAGGACAACCAACTACATGTACATGTATGCTATCACTATCCTTCTGTTTCATCCATATTATTACTTATAGCAATTTCTAACAACATCTTGTTCAGAATATTAATCAGCAAGCCTAATTACATCTACTTTCGATGTTCACTAGAAATCACTACACATTTTTGTAGTCATGTTACCACAATGTTCATATGTGTTTTGATTTCTAGCCTTTTAAGGTCAACTACATTTATGTTGTCACTTTCATTCACAGTGTAGATGAAGAATTCCACTTACCCATGCATATAGTATCCATATGATTAGAAATGGCATTGGTGACAGTATAATGATAAAGAACAGTGCAAAATGGGTTAGTATGATGAAGAGAAAGGAACGGGGGAGGAGTGGCTAAAAGATATGGTGTGAAAATAGTTTAAACTGTAACATACAGAAAAATGAACAAATACACTATGTTGTATTACATGTATGCATACAACAAAACATGCAAATTGTTTACAGAACATTCTACACATACTACATTATGTCTACACCAAATATGATGTGAATAGATGTATAAATAAAATCTTAAAAAATAACAGAAAATGTAGGTGAACAACTTCATTCATTCATTTTAAGTCACCACACAACTACTTCCCAATATGTAGTAAAAGTAAAGAGACATGTACAGTGTGTATAGAGCACAATTGCAAACTGATAAACATCCCAGGCAGGGCAAATATCTACTCAACTATGAAACATTTTCTGAAAGATTTGCTGATTAGGAATGGTAAATATATTTGAGAAGTCCACTTTCCAGAGGTTTTTAATAAGAAGGTGGATAGTGGCATACATGAACATGAACATGAACAGTAAGACAGATCTAAACATTTACAGCTTAGCATTTCTTACAGGACACCCATCTCTTGAGAAGGATTGACACATACAGAAGCAGTGGAATTTCATGTAATAATATGTATGCCTAGATGCAGTATCATAGAACCCTTTTTTTGGAAAGGCATTTAATATTAAAGCAAAAGGATTAGCAATTGTGATAATCAAAAGAAAGAAGGAGGAGATCGAGAACAAGAAAAATGATAGAGTAACTGAACAGTCCACATTTCTTCCCAGTAGTTTCCATTAGATCTACAATAAATTGCTCAGACATTTACAGAATAGGATCAAGAAAGAAAAAGCAACTAAAGTTGACAAAAAAGTATGTTTTTGAATGTTGGAGAAAAAATAAGTTGTCTAATAATCAGAAAAAAAGTAAGTAATGAAAAATAAAATGAAAACTGTCATGTAGTTATGCAACTAAAATAATTATGTAGCTTGGTTTTGGATAGTAGCCATAAAGCACCTTGCCAATTTAGAACAATGCCGATCAAATATCTTTGACTGTACAGGTTGATAAGTCACAAAGCATACAAATAACATTGATGATTCTTATAGATGTATTACTTCTGGTAGCACTTCGTTCTTAGTAAACAAACAGTGATACCAAATAGTGATAAGTCGTTAGGTTTGAACAACCTTGGCTCTGAATACACTACACTACCAGCATTTGCTACTAAAAAGCTGCTTGCTAAATGATAATCATTTCCCTATCAATCAAAATAATCAATAGAATATGAGAAATACTGTAAATCTGGTTATTTACAGAGCATTGAAGTGCATTCACTCATGACACCATCATCACAAAGGTTTCCATAAGCCATCATACTTGAACAGTGCCAACAGTGAAGTGATACAGGTAAATGTCATCTCTTCTACACATCAACTACTCGAGACTGAGATTAGTGATGGGTCATTTTGACCTATTTCCTGGCAGGCAGGCAGGTAAGCCAGGCAGAATCAAACAATGAATCATTCACAGAACACTAGAAACTGTCAATCAAATGCACTTCCAACATGAATCACTATGCTTCTCATTCTAAATCTAAACTGTAATTAGTTGTACCATTTCAGATCGTCCAGTTACATGTAGTAAGAGAATTCATGGGAATCTACATTTTACTTATTTTAACAAGATTTTAACATTACTTTACTCATACAGTAGACCCGTTTACCAAGGCATTCAAATTTCATGCAAAGTTTCTGGCACTATACTAGATTACTTCTTAGTTGAGGCTTGTCTGTACCTTGGCAACCACTTACATGCATGCCAGTAGAAATCTATCTACATGTGATCATAAATATATATTATATACAAGTGTACAATATATTTTACAATCACAGGGGAATTCTTCACTAGGGTTTCTGGGAAGAAACCTTAACAAAATATATATAAAAACATTTGCAATACAGACCTTTCGAAATTGCAATCAATACCATGCTTTCTACAATCTAAGTCCTTCATTCCATTGCAAAATTAAATACAAAATCAATCTCTTCTGTACTTTGATATATAATGTTACAATCGATTTGAATCAATCGTAACTTACAAGACAGGGGTAGTGGTGTAAATGCTTACCTGTGCCAGCTTCAGGAGCTGGTCGATGTTGTTCACTCTGTTCTCTCTGCTGTAGCTGACCTGTATACATGACTGCACTCTGATTCTGGGTATTCCTTCTTGCTCTCACTGTCTCAGGGTCATCAGCCACTGATATCTTGCAGCCCTTATCTTGTACAAACTGCTTCTGATACTCAACCTACAAGAAGAACAAAATTATATTGAATAGTGTGACTGTGAAAGAGGTATCGGAATGCTTTCAATTTTATAAAACTGAAATGAAATTTAGTAGGAAAAATAAAAACAAATTTTGTCACAGCAATTTGAGTAAGAGGTTCACTCTTCATTTTGAAAGGAAAGACCACTAAGAAAACAAATTCAAACCAGAAGCATTTAAACAATGTATAACAATGTGTTTGTACTCGAGCATTTTACAGTAAAAGTTCAGATTTATACCTGCGAATATCTGGATCTAGCCAGAAAGTGCTATAATAATTTGGAAACAAACACCTACAAGTAAGACCTGACATCTCTGACTCACTTTCTATTCTATGTAGTTGTCTAGTTGATAATGCATGATTAAAATAAATAGAGATAGAGAGAGAGAGAGAGAGAACCTCCATCATTATGCAATGGTTCAGGGTTTGTGTAATGTACATTTGAAACCATTTCTTAGCATCTCAACTCTAACAAAAATAGCGAAACTATTTTTGAGGAAAAGCATTATACTGAACTGATCAACTGAATAAAGAATAATAACTCTATGGGCTAAAGACAATATGGTATCGGCACAGTAAGATCAGGTATTTTTTTATAGAGGTACTCCAAAATGACATTCTGATAATCAATATTGTGTTCTGTATTCATATGTATATACCGGTACGCATAATACAACTGATCTTTATGATTTCTTAACGGTGACATAGCTTCTTCTCCCCCTGCAAACAAAAAAGAAAACAAGGTTATTTAATAAAAGGATCATGCAACAAACATTCCATGTGATTCAAATTAATGCAAAGATTTTTTTTTAATAAGCAATGCTTTTCACCATAAACTTCTTTGTAAAAACGACTTTTACAAATCTCAGCCATGCAATTCTACCAGCAATTCTGCCACTGTGCTGTAAGATCACTTTCAGATTAGGAGAAGTGTATTCGTTAATGAGTATTTTAAATTGAATGGAACGTCTCAACTCAGTAAGCATGGCTGAGATTTGAAAAGTTGTTTTTACAAAGAAGATTCTGGTAAAAAGCAGTGCTTATTTAAACAAATATTTGCATCAAATTGAATCACAATCATTATTTGTCGCTTAATCCCTTTTATTGACCTTGTTTTCTTTCTCGTTTGAAAGGGGAAAAGAAGCTATGTCACGTTAAAGAGAAGGTTGAGTTCTGGGAAGATGTAAACAATAATTTGTGAGCGTTATCATTCTTGTTGCAAGTGTGGAAGAACATCAGATAAGACATGTTCCCTGAAAAGCATGGCTCTTCAAATGCCTTCATATTCTAAATATGTCATGTAACATTGTACAACTCAGGGTTAGGATTTTTACGCCACATGTTCGTGTAGTCCCATACACATCTTTCTGTGTACAGTATTTGTAACTTTACAGAGACTTGGCCAAATTTCTTATCATTTTGATGATTCCAGAACCTTGCAATACACACAAATTCTTATATGCTAATTTATCAACCTTTTCTGGTCGATTCCACATCGTTTCTTTCACAATGCAATCGCTTGACCAGAACTCAACTATATCTTTAAAGGCATCATAAAGATCAGTGTTTTATGCGTATATATTATATACACAGGGGGGAATGTTAATTATTTTTGTTTGGGGGTGGGGGGTCAGAACGGCCGCTTAAAACAAAAAATTAAAGGTAAAAATTTACGTTACTATCCTATTTTTTTACTGGTTGGGAGGCTATGGGCCTGCATGATGAACATATTGTCTGTTGAGAGGCAGAAAGGTTTTAACTCTGTGTATATATATATGAGTTAACACCCTTTTGGCTCTCAATACGATATCAATACGATATAAATGGGTAAATGCAAGCACTGTAGATCTATTCCAACAGTGTACTATACCTGACTCTGAGTTTTTGTATTCTTTGCAAGTCTTCTGTTTTCAGGGGTATCTGCCACAGTGGTAAACTTCGTTGTAGGGTAGTGGCTGTTTAAAAATGGAATAGAGAACAGTTTTCATCAGAATACAGTAATTCCCATAAAAACATGTATTGCAACTCATCTGCACTTATTTAAGACTGATATAGAGATCTTTGTTTCAATAAAGTTTTCATTAAAGATAAACTTCAGTACTGGTAATGCGATTGCATGTGAAAGAAAAGGTGTGGAAAGGATCAGAAACAGTTGATCATGTAGCATGTAAGTATTGGTGTGCAGGTTCTGGAGTCATCAAAATAATAATAAATTTGACCGAGTCTTGGTAAAGTAACAAGCACTGTACACAGAAAGCTATATATGGGACAACACACATGGTGTCGGGGCTTGTACTACCTTGATTTCCTTGTCTTTCTATGCTCATTACTCAGCCAGTATACATTTTCTTCCAAAATTGTTTGGCACATGTCATTTATTTGTAATCTTGAACATTCAGTGTAAGTTTTGTTTGATTCTGTGAGAATTAATTTTCTTTTTTTTACCAGAACTCAAGTTTATCTTTAACATTGATACCCAGAACTCTTTCTACTTAAGGTCCTGAATTATCAATTAAAATGAAAATAACTCACGCATGGCAGTATGGAAGCTTGTCGTAGCCCTTGTAGTTCTTCATGTTCAGGGTCATCCCACATGATTCACAGGTAAAACATCCCTTGTGCCAACTCTGAATTTAAAGAGATAAACAGGTGAAAAAAATATTGCTAGAAATGCAATAATTATTTTGTTGTACAATGTGAGGCAGTACCAGTAATTTGAACAGAAAGTAAAGAACTATCAGGTTACTTTCTGTACAGGTTTTGAAGATATGATGATCAAATACAAGTCACCAAGTAAGAACTAATCATCATGCATTTGTTTTAATTATCTAGACTACGGTACTCTTTTTTGCTTCTAAAACAACTTTAACATAAACAATATTTCAATTAAACCTTTGATAGCCCTAGCCTATAAATAATACACTAACATTTAGACCTACGGTCTACTCCCACTCCGTCCTACTCCTAGTCTAAAAATAATGCCATTGAAAAGAAACTGTACTCTGTAGTGTGACTAAGTCTAAGGTTCGAGTTTAATCGCAAGGTTGTTGCAAAATGTAATGAACCATAATCTGAATAAGAAGATTAAGAATGTGATAATTATGTAGACCTTATTCATAATTATATAAATACAAAAACAGTTAATTTAGTCTTTTACTTTTAGATTAGAACAATGAAATCCTCTGCAATATTCTGCAACAAAGCAAAGAGAGCTTGAGTCTATGTCAAAAGTACTACAAAGCACAACAGGTTTTGGTTTGTAGTTTAAAACATGTGAATACATCTTCTTCACAAGTAATCAATCACAATCAGTTTTCTAGTGTGAAGTCCTGTATTGTTTACTTTCCGGGCTGATACACGAACACAAAGCAAAGGCACTTTCAATGGTGCCTAATAATAACTGCACGTAATACCAACTGAGCTAGTTAGGCTCATTCAACAGATTATACTGCCGCCCACTTTCACTACAGACGTTCGATTCAGATTTATTAAAAATAAGAAATGTTATCATTACCTTATCCAAACATTTCATCTCTTCCACCGGATAAACGGTCCTGAGGCATCTCGCACAAGTCTTGTTCATCTTGACTGTCCAAATATCCTTCAAAATCGGAAAATGGTGACCAGCAAATGAGCATTCGTCTCTTGTATTTCCCGAGTGGGATCGGGATGAGGATGACGCACCGCGAAACCAGCTAGCGCGCTCTAGCTGAATAGCAGTAGTATACCTACACAATGCATGCGCCCAATGTCGATATTTCTTAGCCTTGGAATTGCCCGGTCGCGGAGGCTAGCGGAGACGGAGGGGAAATCGAATCCAGCGCGAACCCTTGCCGATGGCGGTAGTAGTACACACGGCACTCTATCGAGAGAAAGGCTCACCAAAAACGGAAGTCGAGTCAGCGAGCGAAAACCCCCCTGCTTATGCACCGGGGGTACCCCTCCTATTAAAAAACCCGGAAAGTGAAAGTGTTACTGCACCTGTCGCACCTTTCATGACACACGCCCTTTGTTTGTTGTAGACAATAAACCCTCTATCGTTTCAAGGATAATAATATCATATTGGACGGCTTTGAGAGTTTGAGTGTGATACAAGAATATATTGCTGGTCTCGTCCAATATTGTCATAGCTCGAGTGATATATTCTTGTATCACACGTCACAAAAACAAATCCATACAATAATGTTATTATTATCTAATAATAATAATATTGTTGTCAGAAGGGACACCAGTTTTGCTCATCGGGTACAGTGACCGGGAACCAGCGCTCTTTTGATTTTCGATAATCAATCAATATTGTATCGACAGTAATAATGTTTCCGGATGACAGAGCAATACTGACGAAAACAATATTTATATGTCATCCGGATAATGCGCTAAAGATATTAAATACACGAGTTATTGTACCATTTGGGAGCTTTATCTAGACTGTTCCAAAGGTACCTCGTGTGGGTAATTTCACTAATGCCCGAACAAAATGATGTGTATTATTTGTTTTATAATATTATGTTTTATTTGTTTTGTAAAATGATGTTTTATAACATGATTTTACTAATGACCGGTTATTATCAAATTCCGGTTAGGCAAAATAAATGCATGGTCACGTGAACGCTCTCAACCGATCATTTTATTAGGATCCGCGTCATCATCTTGTAATACTGTACGGTAATCATCAAGGCCACAACGGATCCACCCCTACCTGAAGTGGTTCAATATCATCATCATCATTATCATCATCATCACCATTCATCTTCTTTGAAATTCAAATTGATACGTTGACATGCTGAGCCTACTGTTTCATTGTTTTTGCTCTTTTGTTTTTATTTATTTCAAAGGCATGAAAGTACTATCAACAAATGTCAACCATCCTGTGCATGAGCTAAAGTATGTATTCCTCTATCACGGTTTGTTTGCAAACAACAATAATTAATAATTAATTATTATGTTTAACAAAATATGTTAGGACATGCCGCATGGAAAGGGAAGGCCCTTATTTGACTGATATCTTTTCAGATCTCCGTTTACTTATTCCATTTCCTAATTATTAGGGCCTTCTAAAGTGCCACCGGTATCTCATTCAACGCGATATGATAATAACCAAATCCAAAGGCGGATCGAAGGCACCACATCCCCCCTTCCTTCCTTCCTTTTTTTCTTTTACCGGGCTGGCCTTAACTCTCCCCACGCGTAGAAGGTCAATATTGAAAAATAGAAGCCTATCAAGTTCGGTGCGATCTGAGCCTTTTGTGATCTCCTTAAATTTATGTATGCTTCTTCCTTTCTGCTTTTAAACTTTTAATTTCGAAGGAAACATAGAGATAGATTTTCAAAATGTTGATTGGATCGAGTGGTGCCACCACACGGCAGCGTTGCGTTCTGCATCTGTGTGATCCGTTCTGTCATCTTGCTTTAAAAATATTCACTCAATACTTTATCACTGATCACGAGAATAATGTGGGAAGGGGTTAAGTCAGTTACATAATGCGTTTTATCTACTCCTTTCACCCCCCCCCCTCTTTACTCTCTTTTTCACCTTTCGATTTGCGGGGCATATGCCCCCCCCCCCCCCCCCCCCCACTCCCTTACGCCGCGGTAATCTCTTGAGAGCATATCCGAAGGAATATTATGAATATAAGAAATATAATAGATCCCGGGATTGATACGAGTCCCTCTGCAAGACAATCTCCGGATATTGTTTCTCTTTAAATTTCCTGCATAACAATCTGGAAGTAAATAACGCCTTTTCCCAATCAGCTGAAATAGAACTGACCTTTATCGTATATGATCAAGAAAGAATCGGAGATCGTAGATTATCACATGGCTTTCTTTTATCCTCAAATTAAATGAAATGCGTGCGTGGTTTAAAATCAAGCAAAGTAATATTGAATTATTTGAATACATTGAACTTTTGACTTCTTCGCGACAAATTGATAATCACAAATGCGATAGATACTTTCTTCAACATCGCAAAGAGGTGTGAATAGGAACAAAAGTATTAAAAAGTCAAGTCATACATTTTTCAAAAAGGGTTAGAAATGATGCAGACCTCTTTTACTATAATTGACAACGAATTACAGAAATATATTTAGAGGGTCTGGACAATGGGGGAACACTTTAAAACAATTTCCAACTATTGCTCCTATTCTAACTTTTATCAGCACACTCGGCAAACGATTTGGCTAGGAAAAGTTAGGGGGAAAAAATGTGTATTTTTACCTTTTTTTTAACGTTAATTTTACCTTTTTTGGAGATGGCCCCCCCCCCCAAAAAAAAAAAAAAAATAATTATAAAAATAGTACTCACTATCTTCTTCACTGCTCTTTTTTTTGGAAATATTTTGCATGCTCTGTATTCCATATTATTTTCTTGTTCCATTTGGGTGGACCGTGGACGAGTATACTTACAATTTCAATTATTTTATTATTTCAATGGCTTCACATTGCAATGGTATCATGGTATAATCATGATCAGGTATGTTTATTGTGTCTGCAAACTCAGGAATAAACCAAATGAAGAAAAAAAACATCTAGATCTTAGATTAGTGAGTAGACTATTGACGCGTATATTAATAATAAGCACTCGAAACCTCATGCACCGAGCAGCGTCGGTACGAAGTCTAAAGGTCGAGGATTCGCAATCAAACAAAGTATAGCAAACACAACTGAAACTTTAATGTTCCAATTTCTATTCATTTCTCATTTTCTTGAAGTTACTACTATCCTTCACTTATTAGTAGTATCAATATCTCCATAGGCATATAGAGAGCACTTGGGGGCATGCACCTCCCCCCCCCCCCCCCCCCCCACTCATCCACGAGAATATACAGGACTCGGAACGTCCAGCCTTTCACCCTACCCCTCAGTGTAACCATGTGACAGTGATTTTGTGTGTCATCCCTCCCCGTATGCAACCCCCTTCAACAAGTCTGACTGTGCCATGCCAATGATTTTATATTGTAGTTATATTTCAAACGAGAATGCATATTATTATTATACTTAATCTTACTAACAATGAGGATAACGTAAAAATATGATTATCATTGCTCTCATATGTTTGCATAAGCCCTTTTAATCATGTTTGTCTTGCCATAGATGTAATATCTCCCACATGTACATGATTGTATGCAGAATTCAAGTTTATTTCCTGGTGCCTAAATAATACCTTTCTTTCGTGGATTAAAAGTGTAGGCCTACAGTCCAAATAAATGCAAACAAGATCAGATTTTTGGCCTTCTTTTTTCGAGTGATCATGTTTATAAAATTAATTTTGTGTCTCGCTCTTAACATTTCATGATAAGAATTATAATAAGAAATACCCATTCTTAATCAGTTCAGGGGTAATTATTTCTGATCCATTCCATATTTTTCTTAAATCGTAGAGATCAGTGGTAATTACGTGGAGGTACAAGGGCAGTTCTCCAACTTCCAAGCTAATATTGGGACAATGTCAAATTCAAACATGTTCACACACAAATGACACAAAGACACTCACCCGTCCACTTCACCCATCTCACTTGTCTCTTTATCTACATTCGTTTAAAAACTGACATAGTATAGTGAATTAACTTTAAAGGTTTCTCAAGTTATCAATGTAATCCACGGAAGACATAACATCAAGTTATATATAGGTTTTAAAGTTTATTTGAAAACACACACAAGATAATTAAATGCATTTGTAGTGATAGACTTATTTTTTCTGAAGATGCTGTTGCTAATATCTCCATCCTTAACCCGCTCGTTGTGAGTAATGACGGGAAAATGTACTACAACTTTTACAAGGTGCAAAACGAACAGGGACTCCCCCTCCTCAGCTTAATACCACCCAACACCCCCCTCCCCTCCATATCATCACCATTCCTGAAAATGTCTAGTCCAACTTTCTCCGGACCACGGCTTTGTCAATTATTCATTTCACTGACAATATTCTATAAACACCGAGGAATTACAAAGAATGGAAGCTTCAGTTCATTGGTTTCTAGTTCTACTGGCAGCGTGATGAAAAATGGAGCAAAAAATCGTCGTCGTTCAGCTCAGCTCAGCTCAGCTCAGCTCAGCTCGTACACTCGTACACTCGTACATCGCAGTCTTACAGTGTACGGCTGTAGCTAGCTAGCGGTGCGCAACAGGTGGTATGTGCTTTTGCGAATGCATTTTGGTGTCAAATTATAGGCGGGAATCGCACGCCTTTTTTAGCTATCGCATGAGACATACATCCCGAGCCTGAATTTTCTCATGAATGCAAGTCGCAACTGTGTTTTGGCGTAAAATGATCTTTTCGGTATGTCCGTTCGAGGGAACACGCCCATTCGTGATCATGTCAATGACTTGAGTGTATGGCGCTACTGTACGTGCAAAACATTTTGACGAGTGAAGCCGCTGACGTGCTGCTGTGAATACAGCAGACAATTCACTTACCTTATCCAAGCACACTAGCTTTTCTGTCGGATAGACCGTTTTCTTACACCTTGCACAAGGAGGGTTCATGATGTATATAAATCCTTAGATCCTTACAGATATGGTAATCCTGCAAAAGCCCAGTACTAATACACGGGCAGCTAGAATTTCTCAAAGAGCTGTAGTAATTAACCGTCGGGGTGGCTTCCTTACAAAATCAGGCAGTTCCGCATTCGGGCGACATGCACGAACCTAACGTAATACCTACACACGATTCGAACTGGCGTGTGCGTTCTACTTTGCGCTCGGATATTTCTTTTGACAGACTTTTTAACAAAGATAACTTTTCACGGTTTTGGGAGTAACAATAGCATTGAAAAAGAAATAAAAGCAGTCAGGGCTATACAAGATACTTCGAAAAATGATATGCATATTTATCAGTGTTTACTGGAGTATTTTCGAATTAAAAACAAAAAAGAATGTTTTTACTCATCAGCTAATGGAATTTATCATCTTTATTGTATCAGTATATAGGACTCTTTGAGTAATTTATTGTCGTAAATGCCTCGGTCACCGTGCATCGTAAAGAGCGCCCTTTATTTACTAGCTTTTTCAACACCATAGAGTAAGAAACACAGATGTGATTGAGTTTGTTTTCTCTTGAGAAAATTATGGTGGTATTTTCTGTAGCTGCCAATTGGGAGTGGGAGCAG